AAAAGAAGAGACCTCAAATTAATATTATAGGCATCAATGTCGAACGCTGAGTGCGGAGAACGTGGTATAAGCCATATCGCGGAAGAATAGCTTAAATCGGGGAAATAAGACTTTTTCCGCGACTTTCAAAGTTCAATGAAGACACGTGAAATCAACTATACCTGCAACAATGTCGAACGCTTACACGAATGAAAGTGAAATCTAACAGTTCGCGGAAGATTCGATAAAATCTGAGTAATAACTATTTTTCCGCGACATATCAAGACGAAGGAAGAGAATGAAATCAGCTATACCTGCATCAATGACGAACACGGAAAGCTGTAAAAGTGGTATCGGACAAATCGCGGAAGATACTCAAAACCTAAGTGAATAACACTTTTTCCGCGACTTTCAAAGTCGAATGAAGAAAGCTGAAATCAGCTATATTTGCATCAATGTCAAAAGCTGAGTGCTGTAAAAGTGCTATTGGCCACAGTGCTATTAGAAAATTCGCAAAACCTAATTAAGCATACTTTTTCCGCGACATAGAAAGACGAAGGAAGAGAACAGAAATCAGCTATACCTGCATCAATGTCGAACGCTTACACGAGTGAGAGCGAAATCTACCAGTTCGCGGAAGATTTGCAAAATCTAAGTAAAAACGCTTTTTCCGCAACTCATCAAGACGAAGGAAGAGAACTGAAATCAGCTATACCTGCATCAATGTCGAACGCTGAGTGCTGTAAAATTGGTATTGGCCATATCGCGGAAGATTCGCAAAATCTGAGTCATTACGCTTTTTCCGCGACTTACAAAGGTGAATGAAAAGAACTGAAATCAGCTATACCTGCATCAATGTCGAACGCTTACACGAGTGAAAGTGAAATCTGCCAATTCGCGGAAGATTCAATAAATCCGATTAAATACACTTTTTCCGCGACTTTCAAAGTTGAAGGGACGTGAAATCAACTATAACTGCATCAATGTCGAAAGCTGAAAGCTGTAAAAGTGCAATCGGCCAAATGACGGAGAGATGCGCAAAATCTGAGTAATTACGCTTTTTCGCGAATTTCAAAGTTGAATGAAGAGACGTGTAATCAGCACTATGAGCGTCAATGTCGAACGCTGAGTACTGTAAAAGTGGAATCGGCCGAATCGCGGAGAGATGCGGAAAATCTGAGTAATTACGCTTTTTCCGCGACTTTCAAAGTTGAATGAAGAGACGTGTAATCAGCACTATGAGCGTCAATGTCGAACGCTGAGTGCTGGAAAAGTGGTATCGGAAATATATTGGAAAATTCGCAAAATGTAATTAAGCATATTTTTTCCGCGACCTAGAAAGACGAAGGAAGAGAACTGAAATCAGCTATACCTGCATCAATGTCGAACGATGAGTGCTTTACAAGGGGAATCGGCCATATCAAGGAAACCTCGCAAAATCTGGGAAAGAACTCTTTTTCCGCGACTTTCAAATTGAATGAAGAGACGTGAAATCAGCACTATGAGCGTCAATGTCGAACGCTGAGTGCTGTAAAAGTGGAATCGGCCAAATCGCGGAGAGATGCGCAAAATCTGAGTAATTACGCTTTTACCGCGACTTTGAAATTTCATTGAAGACACGTGAAATCAGCTATACCTGCATCAATGTCGAACGCTGAGTGCTGTAAAAGTGGAATCGGCCATATCGCGGAAGAATAGCAAAATCGGGGAAATAACGCTTTTTTCACGACTCATCAAGACGAAGGAAGAGAACTGAAATCAGCTATACCTGCATCAATGTCGAACGCTGAGTGCTGTAAAAGTGGTATCGGCCATATCAAGGAAACCTCGCAAAAGCTGGGAAAGAACAGTTTCCGCGACTTTCAAAGTCGAATGAAGAGACGTGAAATCAGCTATACCTGCATCAATGTCGAACGGTGAGTGCTGTAAAAGTGGAATCGGCCAAATCGCGGAGATATGCGCAAAATCTGAGTAATTACGCTTTTTCCGCGACTTTTAAATTCGAATGAAGAGACATGAAATCAGCACTATGAGCGTCAATGTCGAACGCTGAGTGCTGTAAAAGTGGAATCGGCCATATCAAGGAAGAATAGCAAAATCTGGGAAAGAACTCTTTTTCCGCGACTTTCAAAGTTGAATGAGGAGACGTGAAATCAACTATACCTGCATCAATGTCGAACGCTGAGTGCTGTAAAAGTGGAATCGGCCATATATTGGAAAATTCGCAAAATCTAATTAAGCATACTTTTTCCGCGACCGAGAAAGACGAAGGAAGAAAAGTGAAATCAGCTATACCTGCATTAATGTCGAACGCTGAGTGCTGTAAAAGTGGTATCGGCCAAATCGCGGAAAGATTCGAAAAATCTGAGTAATTACGCTTTTTCCGCGACTTTTAAGTTGAATGAAGAGACGTGAAATCAGCTATACCAGCATCAATGTCGAACGCTGAGTGCTGTAAAAGTGGAATCGGCCATATATTGGAAAATTCGCAAAATCTAATTAAGTATACTTTTTCCGCGACCTAGAAAGACAAAGGAAGAGTACTGAAATCAGCTATAACTGCATCAATTTCGAACGCTGAGTGCTGTAAAAGTGGTATAGGCCATATCGCGAAAGAATAGCAAAACCTGGGATAGAACACTTTTTCCGCGCCTTACTAAATCGAATGAAGAGAGCTGAAATCAGCTATACCTGCATCAACGTCGATCGCTGATTGCTGTAAATGTGGTATCGGCCAAATCGCGGAAGATTCGCAATATCTGAGAAAGAACACTAATTCAGCGACTTTCAAAGGCGATTGAATAGACCTGAAATCAGTATTATGAGCATCAATGTCGAACGCTTAGACGAATGCGGGTGGAATCTGAAAGATTGCGGAAATTTGGATGAATCTGATTAAATACACTTTTCCCCCGACTTTCAAAGACGATTGAAGAGACCTGAAATCATGAAAGTCGAACGCTGAGTGCTGTACAAGTGGTATCTTGGAGATAATGGAAAATTCGCAAAATCTGAGTTAGTAAACATCTACCCCTGATACTTACCCCTTATACTTGATCATCGTGTAACGGCTCTACGGTGACGCTGTGAAAGGGGGGCAATGAGGGATACAGCAGAAGGGCCACGTGAAATTCAGCGAAGACTCTCAGTTCTGCTCATGCTGAAATGACGGTTGACCTCGAGTTCGGCGCTATTCAGATGAAAAGGGCATCACGAGCAAGCATACCCTTTGGCACCCGGGGCCGACCTCTGGCATCATGGTTTAGGGTGCCAACAGCTACACTGCTAAATCTCCTCTGGCGATTGTACCTGCAATCCTTACTGCCAAACAAAATGACCACGTTACAGACGTCCTGCAGCTAGTGGTGATTTCATTCATCCGCTGACATAAAGATGCAATCTTCCAGCAGGATAACGCTCGTCCTGATGTGACAGCGGCAACTCTGCAGGATCTTCGGAAGCAGCTCGTGCAAGTACTGACATGGCCTGCTTGCTCGCCGATTGAGAATGCATGGGATATGATTAGACGACATCTGCACCAATACGTTTGAGGACCTCCTGCAACTTTTGCCGATCTGCAGCAACGGGTACAGGCTGCATGAAATGCCATCTTACATGAAGACAGCTAACCCTTACGAATGTATGCCACGTCGTTTGGCAGTTTGTATCACGGCCAGAGGCGGCAATTCAAAGTATTAAGGGGCCTGAAGGGCTTCGCACAAAAAATTCACGATCGCAGAACAAATGCCAGGAGAACCAGGAGAATATTGGGCATGTCAAGGATTTAAGTATATGCAAATTAGGTGCCAAAACAATGGGGTTGCCATGGAAATGACGCCATCTTGGATTTCAACAGACTATCTTAGAGTAGTTCTAGTGAACGTATTTGATGATATTTTTCAAAACAACCTTTTAACATTTTTTCATACGATATGAGGAATACTACCAATCAAAATGTATTAGTTATCATCATCCGTAATGAAAAATGCATATATTCGAATTTCACTAGTCTGATGACGTCTTTATATATTCATGACTCCATACTTCAACCCACACATATCCTACGGTCACAAAAGTGCTTCATTGTACAGTCCAGGGGGTTCTGACGCTCTGTTCCAAATTTGGTCTATATTTAATCGTTTTTGAGATATGAGTGCCCAAATGAACTAAGGCATCGTTACTTTTGAAACCCTAGACGCCCGTTAACTGTGCTGCCGTAACAGGATTGTATCACGTCACCGCGTCAGGTATCGGAGAGTGATTCATCATTTACATACCTCGATGTCTCCAAAAAATGGCCAAAGTTTCTAATCCAAAGTTTCCGTTGTTGGCCAAATGGCCAAAATTTTTGTTGTATCATCGCTCGTTCTAGGTGTTTTTTTTTTCCCCGGCAGTGTATATATCACGTCATGTAAAGGTTGAGAAGTAAAAAATGCAAAACCAAGGTTCAAGATGCAGGGCCCCAATAGACTTGCCTCATTGTGATCGTGTGCCTTTTATTAGTTTTCAAGTACTGAGCTAATATTGTCAACAGTGAAAAGCACTTTCCCTAGGGTTCTCTGATGTTCATCCTCTCCCTGAACAACTCAGCAATCCAAGGACATCTTTTAAATTTGCTGTTTTTGGTAAAAATCAGCTTTCAGCAAGAACTCCATCTAAAAGTCTATACCTTGCCTGCATACAAATTCTTGCATCAATTTCAGAAATAGTTATTTTAGTTATCATCAGGCAATGAAAGGGACAGACGGACACTAATAGACAGGACTGATACATGTTGCTTCTTCCCATTTTTGGGAAGAAGGTTCATTAGAAAAAGGAAAATGCATGGAAAAACATTATTATTGCATTATTATTACTGCATTATTGAGATTCTTTGCAGAAGCAAAGAAACAATCTCAATAATGCAAATCGTGCACCTTGAGGAAACATGTCCTCGTTGCCATTAGGAATGATCCTCATTATCGATCACAATCTCTCTAATTAAGAAAAGTTTCATTCAAGAGAAGGGGAATGAAACTTACAGGAGAGAATGAGGTCTTGGATTCCCGAAGAGTGACAATCAGATATGGGACTGATGAAAGGACATCTTCCAAAGCGGATGTGAATCGTCCCTCTTCTTGGTCCCATCCACAGCCACTGAGACCCATTGGACCGATGCAGCATGCCTACAATTTAATAATTACATGGATTATTGAATCTTTTTTTTTCAATAATGATAACAAGGAGATATTTTTGCATGCAAGAGAGAATGATCATTAGCCCACAGATGCAGCAGAAGGGTCTTCAGCATGGGCCTCATCAACACGTAAAGATGATGGAAGAGAGATGTGAAGATAGAGTGCCTCTGCTGGGTATCCAGTCCTCTTGGAAGATGTCAAGGTCAAGGAATGCAAGAACATCTTGGCTCGATTCAGCAAGGTCAAGTTCACCACACCAGGCATCCCTTCCTCCACCTGAAGAATATGAATTCAACTTAATCATCATTGCTAATTAGAAAAAATTAGGTGCTGAAGATGTGGAGCATACCCAGGCACTGAGTTGTTTCACACAGTTGAGAACTCTGGCAGAGAATTCCTCAAGTGTCATCTTGGTGTCTCTCCAATACTTAAGGAAATCAGCTGGAAGTGAGCCATTCAGCAAGAAATTGGAGCATTCACCAAGTCTGCATCCTCGTTCATCTGGATCCCTCAAAGCCTGACCGACCAATTCCTGATTCATCCTCAAGATCTCAAGTGCAGGTACAGTAAAGATAAACTGAAGCATCTTACAAGCCTGAGAGATCGGAGGAGAATCCTGACATCAGATAAAAATTCATTGAAAGTCTTCATCTCTATGATGACGAAGTGCATGACTGGAGTGAAGGCCTCAGCCTTCTCTAGTTTCTTTACAATCCCTCGAACATCAAAGGGCGAAAGAGGTGACATAATTTTTTCCAGGGCTTCAATCTTAGATTCCAAGTCTGAGATGCAATTCAGACATTTCCACTTCTTCCACGTTCCTTGGCGGTCCTTCAAGGACACATATATGGTTGCATTGAAATGCTGTATAGCTTGTTTCTCATACCACTTCGCAGCAGCTAATGACACCCCCAAAACTTCTTCTTCAGATTCAAACTTCCTCAGAGCTGCAAAACCAATTTAAAGGCTATCAAATTAGACAAGAATCAAATTGAAGAGGTTCTGACTGTGTAGTTTCTTGGACCTTTAGGATGAAACAGCCAGAAGGGACGAAGTGGGTCATATAGGAAGTCTCCAAAGTATTCCAGGATGAGAGATCTCAGTATCTCCCTGTCCCCCTCCAGTGAAAATCTCCCTTCATAGGTCTACCAACATATTGATAAGGTGACAGGAGGATGAGATAAAACATGTGAGAAATGAGAAAAAATATGCCTACCCAATTGAGAAGCCAATGAATGAGATCCCAGTCAATATCCTTGGGAGTAATGTCTGGCTTCAGGAACTTCTGCAGGAGAGTCTGTACCACAACAGCATCATGGAAGCGGACTTTTGGCTTCCCACTCCATGCATACTTATCATATGGGCCACGATTCTGTTGTTTCATCATGGACATTTTGACTCTTGCATTTGGCATTCAACATTATGAGTGAAAGCGACAACTCACAACAAGAAGAGCATGAAAGAAGACTGCCACATCAGCTATCTTTCCATTAACTCCAGAGTGGTCCTGGGGCAGACAGGGATGAAGGTGTTCCTGAAGATGGATGAATTCTTCCTCCAGTCGTGGGGCTCTTGTTGTCACAACTAGAAAAGTAAATTATTGACAAGAACTTCAATTTAAGTTAACTGCACTTAGCAATTGGTACCCATGGGTCAAAAAAAAGGACTAAAGTTGACAAGGGCACATTATGGAATTAGATCTTGAACCTTTTGTTGCATGATTTAACAAGAGTGCAACATTTTCAATATCTTTATTTATATGGCCCCCATGCTAACTTCTAAATACCAACAGAACACGATATTCATCTTTTTGGACATCACAACTTTCAGAATAAAATTACAGATGGTGTTTCTTGCCAATCACTTTTTCCTTGTGACCCAAAGTGCCATCAGGTGTGCCCATAAATATGGTTGTGATGCAACAAAGGGTCAAGGTTAAATGTTGCTCCAAGACCATGAAGGAGTCATGATGAAATGGTGACAGAAAGGCATGATATATCAATGAAATGGAACCTTTGAGGCATGATTTGATGATAGACAGTTGTGAGATGGATGTCTGGTCCCAGAGGAACCAACCAGGGCCTGTCTCAGGAAGAATCGAATCCAATTCACAACTACGTATGTCCCAGATACCTCTTTCTTTGTCCCCATGAATCCGTTGCTCTTGCACTCCCTGGAAGTAAAAATCACGAGATAATTTTTAAAATTAATTATACAATGGTTTCCAGTAAGGAAAGGAAAGCACCCAAGGGTGTTGAGGAAGGAGTCGGTGTCGATGAAGAGTGTTGGGTAGGTCCCAAGCAGGATGGAACCCCTCACTCTTGCAGAATATTGCCACAGGCATTTCCAGGTTTTTCAGCTCCTTCCAGCTTGGAATCGAACAACAATGATCAGATGCATGGATGATGAAGCAGAAGTTGATTGAGACAGCACTTACAGGGCAGGACTTGATGGAAGAGGGGGAGCAGATCCACCAAGAATGTGACGAGAGTACTCAAGTGTGGCATGAAGGTATTGCTTTGGGGCAAGGACTTTCACAAGGCAGAGGCAATGGAACCATGGTGCTCCTTCCATAATCCCTTCTTTCAGAGATACTAGGGATGGCTTCTGCAGCCACTACAAAAAATTAAGAAGATAGCGACTTAACTTCTCAACCAGATCTCACTTCATGGCAGGCAACAAAAGTACAGAAAGCTTTGCTTTATTTGCTCAGTATTTCCTAGCACAAGATTGATTTCTACCAAGATGCAACTGAGAGATAATATTGAACGAGGGTGAACATTTACCTCAGCATATGTATAAGTGGCAACCACTGACCTGCACTTAACAGCAGCTAGAATAAGACTAACCAGTAGAACCATGAACATCTTGGTTTTTACTGCACTGATCTAAGGTCAATCCACATCCACAGAGCTCAGGAACCCTCAGAAGAGTCCCTAAGGCTTTTCCAATTTGAATATTCCAGGGTTACTTTGGTGAAGAATTGCTTCCAAAAAGCACCATTGTGGCACATTGTTTCCTTGCAAATATGAAAACATATCCTATTGGCATAACACCATATCCTGCTGGTATGATTCTGGATGTTCTAGCATTAGGGTAAAAAAAAAAAAATTGGTTTTGGTTATCTATTCATGAACCAGCTTCTGCTGAGACAAATGAGTTCTAAATTAGATACATTAATTTACCTCCTGCCACCTGCCCTCCTCCTGTGTCAGCATTGAAAGAAGGCTCCCCAGGGTGGCAGGATACAAGTTCCTCAATTTCTTCATATCCTCCCACTTCACCCTTGTTATCCAACTTGGATGCTGGATACTTTCTTCCTCATCTCCTTCTAGTCCCTCATCCTCTTCCTGGGCTGACTTTTCCTCCTCATCTTCCACAATGGGATGAGAGAGGAATAATACTTCATCATTGACCATCTCTCCATGCCCATCCAGGTGTAGGGCAGCCAGCACTGCTAGCAAAGGCCGATCCTCCATCTCCAATCCTAATATCAACATTTTTATCAATAAAAATAAAGCTTTGACAGCTAGTTTCAGTTTTGATTGCAGAACCACCACCTTGGTCAATAAGAGAGTAAACTCCCCAGAAGATGGTTCCCCTGTCCTCTCGTTGCCTCTGGTGAAGTGACTTTTTCACATAATCATTGAAGGCTTTCCAGTTCATCCCATACCATGGCTGAACCTTTGACAAATCCTTTATAGCGAGGAAGAGAGCAGCAAGTCTCTTACAAATTTCAACTGAAGACTCATCAAGTTCTGATATCATCTCCCTGGCAGATTCCACTTGCTCAAATATCTACAAAGACATTTTGTTGATGACACTGACAGTATGAGAATGTTTGAAAGCCAAAAATATTACATTACCATTTGATATTTGGACACCATTGTATCCAGGGCTGACCAATATCCTTCAATTGAGCCCTCATGTCTTAAGACCTGTGAACACAAAGACTGAATTTCCTGGTCCAAAGCACACAGTGCCCTCATTTCTTCCTTGATATTGAGGCTGGCCTTTTGCTGACGCTGAAAGTATTCCTTGAATTCCCACCACATGATCTGTCATAAGACCAGTCATTCAAAGTTGCAATATACATAACAAAGTGGCCCATGTTGCACAAATCTTGGCAATACTTGATACAAACCTGAGGGGAGCATTCCCAATTGATGACAAGTGAAGTTGACCATATTTGCTTCTCTTCTTGATTCATGACTGTGCTCCTCATTTCTCCCATCTCAAAACCACCTTCATAAAAAAAAGTATCATATGTAGATAGAGAGAGAGTGTGCTGGTGTTTGAACAAGAACAGATGCAACTCACTCTGCTGATGTTTGATGCATGACAAAAGGATATGATTGGTGCAAACCTCATCATGAGTATTCAAATGTATTTTGGGTTCCTGGAGTGAGGCCAAAGCCACATTTTGGATCAGGAATTCCTCCTCAGGCAAGCCATTCAACAACCAACTACAAGAAATAATTATCTGGTGTTTTCCCCTCATAAAAAAGTGGTTGAAGATAGGAACAGACCCTTGAACATCAAGTTGAGAACAGCCAAAGCATTCAAGTATCTTGCAGGAAGAGGAGAGATTGAGGCCACGGAAGACGATATCCTCAGCCCATTCCAGTAATAGCACACGTCTTCTCTCCTCACCATTCAATGCTCCATACCATTTGAGATCAGAAGCAAAGACTGAATCCCCAACCACACACTGCAATGCCTCTTCCCTCTCTAAACACTCTTTCTCCCATCTTCAACAGATGAGGTAAATTAAGGAAATAAATGAGAGGTTCCAGTAATTAGGCTATGTATGAGGAAGTGCATAGAACCATGTATGGAAGGTACCGATTTTGCAAATGTTGGAGCTTCTCAAGCATGGCCTGTCCCATGTGAAGGTGTTGGGATTGCTCAGCTATCCTCTCCTCTAGTTTCTGAATCTCAGAAGAGACTTCAGTTGCCTTTTTGTTAACTGTTTCCATCTCTACCTCCAGTTCCTTGATATCTTCCTTCAACTTGTCTCTCTCTAGTCGAGTCTGCATTAGAAAACCAGAAAAAAATATCCATGTTGCTCCATTAAACTAGGTAAGGAATAATAACCTGAGATCAAGAACCTCATTGAAGTTATCTTCCATGGCAGAGATCTGTGCACTATTATCATGGATTTTGGTCTTGGAAGATGCACAGAGCAGAACCGTCTTCACCCAAGAATCCAAGGCAGCAAATGCCTTCTTCTCCACCTTTTCTCCAGAGTTTTCTTCCTCACTTTCCTGTTATGGGAATGATATGTCCTCTGTGATGAATGCAATCTGTTCCTTTCAGGGGATTACAAGTTGGGCACAAATACCTTTAGATAGGTTCGAGCCAGGGATACAGCATCCTGAGAGAGATTCATGGCCAGAGTTTTCAATTGCTTTAAAGTGGGAAGAAGGGAGTGCCATTGAGAGACAAGGACATGGCCATGCTGCCAGCCAAAGTCTGCTTCCTTCAGTATCACACACAATGCCTTCAGGGTTCCCTGGTATTTCTTTGATGGCTCCTCCGAGCTTAAGAAAACACACAACACTAAATTGTTCAAAATGTAAAAAAAAATTCTAATTTTAATTGACAGTGCTGTACCTACAGCTGATGCATGTTTGTCCAGCATCGCTAGGTAAATCATATATGATCAAGTCCTTGGGAACACATGCATACCAAAAGAATAGCAAAAAAGTGATGAGGAATGTTTGTGAATAAAAAAAAAAGTAGTGAACAGAGTTCATCAGGAATTATTATCTCAGGATTGAGATGCCTCACCAAGAAATATTTCAAAACACATGCATACCTCATTTGCTCAACATCAGATGGAGTCAGCTGCTCAAGTTCAGAGAGAGATTGTTCAACAGAAGCATCCAAGGCAAGAGCAGCTTTATCCGAAGCCCCTCGGCATGATTCCAGGTACATCTCCTGCTCTTTTAATAGCTCCTCTTGCTCCTCCAGATTCTTCCTCATCTTTCCCAGTCTCCCTTCAACTAGAGTTGAGGTGGAACTTTATGTTATCTCTCCTAAACTAGAGAGGACGAGCTGGGTAGGAATCAAGTACAATTGCATAGGGATGCACGGCAGCCTTGAAGCACAGTTAGGTGGCTCTCCATCTCTTGCTGCAGGTTGGAGAGACCAGAGCCTACTTGGGCTACACTGGCTTTGAAGTTCTCAATTCCATTCAGTCCTTGTTTCATTTCATCTCTCTGCAGCACACAAAATGAAATCAACATTTCAATCTCCATAATCTCTCCATTTATAAAATTCACTGAACACATTAAATGCCAATGTGCTTGTTAGAGCTTCTGGATCAAAATCTAGTACAGATGCTTGAAGAGCAATGTCTTGGCTTTCAGACGAACAAATTGAATGCATCCATCAGAACAGGTCTATTAGAAATATTGAACTTGTTCATCTGAAAACTGAAACCACATTCACGCTTCTGAATAAAATTTTGGTCATGAAGAGCCCTGACAAAAAAAAAAAGGCATGGCATTTTTCCCAGTTAGGTGAGTTTATGGTCACCCTGTAGATAGAAACAAATCCTCAGTTACCTGCAGAAGCAGGAGGGTTCTCCTGGCACTCATTCCTTGAACTGCATCTCGAATGTAGCAAAGGAATCGAGAAACACAACTCCAATCTGGCATCCTCAATTCAACTGAGATGGAATGGCAAACCAGTTGCTCAATCAGATGGTTCTGTTCCTCACCAAAAAGTGATCTGCAAGGTTCATCTGAAAATACTTCACGAGCCATAGGAGCCAAGATGTCAGACGAGACACCTGGAAGCCAGATCACATGGGCAAGAGACACCCATTCTGGAATCAGCTCTTCCAATTTCACAAAAAATTGTGGATGGATGCAAGCTACAAGAGTCAGCTTTGGCAATTCAGCTTTTGGATGGAAAGTTGAGTCCATAAAGAATGAACATGAGCCAGTAGATCTTGACCGATGAACACACTTTGCCTGACTGAGTCTCCAGACATAAAGGAGCAACTCTGTAGATGAAGGAAAATTTTGACATGGCTTTGATGAACCAAATACAGCATACAATATCAAAGGAATAGAAAGGGGAACTGACCTCTTGAAACAAGTTCAAGATTAGAAATTTGCATTACAATGGTTCCAGGATCACTGGAGATACGTGATAAAGCTTCAAGTGCATCTTTGGGAGAGAGGAACTGCACTGGTTTCTCACTCACAACTTCAACTGATATCTTCAAAAGTGTATTGTCTGAAGACACGATGCAAACAACAGGGAACATTCCTTCTGCCTTGGCTAGGGTCAAGCTTCTCTCTAAGTGGGAAATTTTCTCCACCAATAGATCTGATTGAAGGATGACAGGAGGGATGGTGGGTAAGGTATTCTTGAGTTTCTCCATGTAACGCTGTCGCAATGGGTCCAAAGTATCCATGGAGACTAAACATTTCTCCTCATTGTATCCAAAGACTATAGGTTCCTTGAGGACAAGTTCTGAGACATCAGGAGGGAAGATCTTGAAGACAATCTTCATTAAATTGTCCCAGATGGTATCCCGAGCACTCACATCTGGAAATGAGCCTCCAAATATCCGGAGGACTTCATGAGCCCAAATCCTACCTTGCATCTCCACTACAGCATTTTTATAGAGAGCAGACTTCAATGTTGTCTGGAGTTTCAAAATGTGATAAATGTTGGGTGGACCTGACAATAATAGAGAGTCAGTGAGGTATGCTTGCTTCAGCTGTGTGAACAGTTCTATGGTTGCTTTTGGAAGAGGATTTGGGAGATCAATGACCTGTTCAAGCTCTGACCCCAGGAGAGGTGGAACATAGATGACAAAGCAATTCTTGAGAAGTGATGATGGAATGAGGCTGTCAATGTCGGTGGTCAGGATGAAGGAGATCTTCTTCATCTCCTTGAACTGGATGCCAGAGGACGTCTCATAATAGGATGAACTGGAAGCAAGGAGGGAGATGAAAGATGCAAGTCTTTCATACTCTCCTTCGCCCTGAAGGAACCATCATCATTGTGAATTAGCCAAGTAAAAGCAATGAATATTATGGCTATCATTAAAATGTTTCCTGACTTGACTCAGATGAAGGTCTTTGATGAAGACAGTGAGTTGTTTGCCAAGAGGAGGTCCATAGGTGGTCTTTGTCTGTTTCTCAAGACTGCAATCCAGGCACTGCCTCAGAGTATCAATGGATCCTTGAATTCCGCACTGGATGATGCTGTAAGCCTCAACACTGTCCAGGTGCATGAGGACAATAGCAGATTTTCCAACCCCTGGTTTGCCAGCAAGCAAGACTGGACTCTATGGAAAAAAAAAATTTAAAATGCAGTACAGTTTGCACAGAGACGAGGAGGCTTATCAATGCTGACCTTATTAAGAACCCTGAGTGCTGACAGCAGTCCAGCAAAGTCACCAGAATTCAGCAAAGGTGACTCCTTAGAAACTTTCGAGTCCACAAGAGTGCGGCAGTCTTTCCACTGAAAAGTCTGGTGGCATGGGAAGTAGTGAAACATTGGACTTGAGCTTGGCAGTTCACCTAAAAAACCAACATCCTCAATAGCCTTCTTAATAAAATGGGATGTCAATAAGACAAGCACATAGTTTTCAATCAGGATAAAGGCCCTAACCAAACTTGACATGTTTTTCAGGAGAACTGGGGACAAGGGGAAGGCCAGATGCATCTTTCAAAGCAAAGTCAAGCTTAAGTCTGTCTTCCCTTGCCAGGATTCCTCCAAAGGACCAAGTGATAGAAAAGATGAAGAAGGCTTCGAGTGTTTCATTTGGCACTTCACCTGATTGCTCCAATAAGGCAAGGAGAAAGTCCAAACATCTCTCCATCTATGTGCATGGAAAATTTTCATGACTGAAAGTCTCTAATACATTAAGGAAATGAATCCTTAGAAGTCACTGCTGCAAAGACTCACCAAATAATCAAGGCAGATAGGAACAGGAGACTGCAGAGGTTCTTCACCTGAGAACATTTTAAGGATTCCTGGCAGGTATTTCTTATGTAGGGGTTTCAAATCTAGTTCCAAACGGGGATGAGAAATTAGGAAGGAGTCCAATATCTTTGATGGACTGAGGGCATAATCAGGAACAAGAAGAATGACAGACTCCATAAGAACCCGACTGGGAACTCCCACTGCATCCTCTGCCTTTTGGGAAGTGGAAAAAAATGCCATAGTGACATCTGTTTCTGGGCAAAGAGATTTACATCCTTGGAGATCTCACTTCAAAGATCCTGAGTAGTTTCAAGCTCTCTTGGAAGGTTATGAGTTCCCCATTAGGAGAGAGGAAAGATGGCTGATGTTGGGAGAGGCCCATGAGAGGATGGAATAAGGAGTTCCATTCTCCAGATATGACCAAACAGTGCAAAGTAGAATCTGTGTCTTTGATGCCCTTAAGGAGATGAGGGAATATGCCCTCATGGTATGATTTGTGCCCCTCATCCCATACACCAAACAGGTCTTTTCTTGTATATGCCTGGCAGAGTTAACCATTCTCAGAAAGTCTATGCCATGTTCAAATCTGACAGAGGCTAGCAGAAAAAAGAATCTCACTGATGGATGAATCCGATGGATACGGAGATTGTCACAGCTGGATTCTTTTTGATATATCTGGATGAGGACATTGATCAAAAGGCTCTTTCCAGATCCAGGAGGTCCAAAGATAAAGAGAGGGTGACGTCCATCCAAGGCTTCTTTACCCGCATGGATCAGTTGCTCCTTTCAGGCAGGGAGGCATTCATTTTGATTAATTTCAAATCTTTCATTGATTGTATCATACCATATAGGAAACGCAAGTGCAAAAACAGTATTGGATACCTGTTCAGAGGAGATGCATATTTGTAGCTTTTTGGCAACTTCAAAGATGAGGTCTTGGAATCGTGCCTTCTCATCTTCAGCCTGAGGTTCCTTGGCTTGTTCCTCATCCAAAGGGAAAATGCCTTCCAAGATCAATCCCCAAAGTTCCAAGTGCTCTCTCCTCAAATGAGGCTCCAAGACAGCTCTGAGGTTAAAACTCGCTTGTCACCAAAATGAATATCCTCCCAATACAAAGAACATGGAACACTTTACTTGAGAGCTTCTCGAAGTGCAAATATCTCATCAGAGTCTGGATAAACCTTGAGAATCTTGGACCCAGTCTGTATGATGAGATGCAAAGAATTCAAGTGGAATACTCCTCTGCCATTATGAAAGGAATCTAGACACATTTGCCACAATGTGGCCAGCTTCCTTGATAGCACCTATGCAAGATCCACAGGAAGGAATGAAACTGGGTCAAATTTATCACAATGATGATTGGGAGAAGCATGCATTGTCTCTCACAACTGGGCCGTGGAAGCCATGAAGGAGGAGAAGAGCATGAGAAAGAAATTCTATGCTGGGAGTGAGGACATTCAAGGGCCTTAGAGTTTCCATTAACACTTCTGGAAAGTTGCAAGATGACTGTTGCTGAGTGGGAATGATGATGAATGTCCCCCTTTCCTTAAGAGGAATCTCACGACCTTTCATCTTCAACCAAACAGAAATCAAACTCTCAACAGGTTAACTTGATTTTCCTCTGCATATCATTGCCTTGATGCCTACAATTCCATACCCGAATGGAAGGAGAAGGTAACTGAAGGGAGGCATAGTATTCATGAAGGCAAATTCCAAGAGTTGCAAGTAGAGATACAGGGAGGCTGGGTGAAGAGCGAAGGAGGAGAAAGTATCCTCCCATCCCACTACCAAGGACCATGGAGCTCAAAACTGAAGGGGACAGATCTTCAGTGATCACCCTCTGGAAACAGGGCCTCCCAAGAAATGCAGCAGTCTGCCAAACAATGCTTCCCTTTCCACCACTCTCAGAACCTCAAAGGATAAAAGAGATACAGATGCAATAGAAACTAGCAAAAAAACATTAGAGTTCATGACAGATCCATTACCAGTGAGGAGTATTCCATGGTGTTGAGTTAAAGCAAGCATGAGTTGACTTTGCAAGTGAGAAGACTCCAGACAAGGAATAAAGAGACTTGGAAATCCTGTAAACTCTCCTCCATGCTCATGCTCAGCTGTTTCAATCAATCAAATGTCACTCAAGTCTGTATGGAATAATGGAATACAAAATGAAGTGGGAGACAGTAAAAAAAATAAAATTCTCACCAGTCCAAGCCCTGATACATGGTCGGTCCTTCTCTTGGATCCAGAAAGATCTCAGCTGCTGTTCCCACCGAAAATCATTGATTGAAGAAACACTTTTAAAAAAAAATCAACTCTCAAGCACCAGCAATACTTTTGAATGAGATGGCACACAAATGAAGGAAAATCAACAGACTTGGAGCAGAGGAGAAAGTTGATGAGTTCCCGACAACGCAGGGCAGAGAAGAAAAGAAGTGAGGACCTGCGAGAAGTCAGCTGCCACGTTTTCATTGAGAGTGTCTCAGCATCCAACTTGGCAAGCAATTCCTTGACTGCAACCCGATCACCCTGAATGCAAATCTTACTGTTCAATTTCGTTCTCTTCCTTTCCTGAGAAAACAAAATAATGTCTCATAAAACCTCACTGCAGCTAGGGCATTTAGGGCATGTTCAATCAAAGCAGTCCACCAGATGGAATGAGCCATGAGGACTGCCCCAGTAACATGTTCTTTGCACCAGTCTTCCCTGCAAGCCATGTATGACAAATCTATATTCCATGACAAAGTCTGATGAGATGCAGATTAGGACAGCAGAGCACTCACGTCATCCTCTTATTGCACCCATAATGATAGACAGCTTTTTTTATCTCCTTCCAGTAAGACTCTTTCATGGAATGAATGAGCTGAGGCAGCCAGTCCTCCACTGCTTTCCCCTTCATACCAACAGGACTCAATGCAAGGATATCTTCTCCCCCAATGCCCACCATCCCTGTGATTCCAACTTCATCATCTCCTAGCAATTTTGCCACTCCAGGAAAAATCTTTGGGAAAGATGGCAAAAACAAAGACATTTCAAATGAGACTTTCCATGAGATATGTTATAACATTCCAGACATACTTTTGGAACAAAGTATTGAAAGTGTGCAAGAGTAGTGGTGGTGCCAAAGAGGTCCAACAACTCATGATCAGAAAGAAAAGCAAGCCTTGGCAGATCCAAGCGTTTCAGACAAAGGAATCTCAGAAGATCCCTCTGGAAATACTCCAATTCACTGCTAATCTTAGAGATTGTCTGACCAGTCCTCTCATTCTGACACCTCTTCAAAATCCCACTCTCATTTTCCACTTCCATCAGGAACTAGAAGAAAAAAAATTAAGCCTGCATTAAACCATTCACCAGAATCAAAAAGTGACCTTTAGAAAGAGATCCTAACAGAAGTGTAAGTCTTCCAGAGTGAGATGAATGCTGTTCGATCAATGGAGGCATTTGAAGACAGAATCCCAGCAAGACTCATGAGCCTTGCTTGCACAAAAGCCCAATTTTCAAGAACCTCGCTCAACTTGGATAAACATGCCTGCAGACTCTGCAAAGTATCCAAGAATGGCACTGAATGGCTGAAAAAAACAAAGGAAAGACATGTTAATATCAATCTGCAAGAGAATAAAATGAAAACCTTCTTTGGTCAAAGGACAAAAACCTCTATTACCAAGATATGCTGAGAACTTGTAGTCTAATGTTGTCAGATTGAAGGGAGACCATGATAGAGTCCAGGTCCTTTAAGAGTAGTCCCTCCTCTTTTACATTGGGAAGTCTGGTACTGCCCAATATGAACTTCTTCTCCTCCCATGTCTTGAATAGCCATCAAAAAAGACTACATAGCAACTTGACACTTTTGGAGCATCATAGAAGGTAGTTGTAAATCTAACCTTATTGATGTGATGGAGCTCAGCCTCTACTTTGCTCTCCTCCTCTGCTGACTGAATGAGGATCAGTATGGAATCTTTGTGCCTATGGAATCCCCATGAAAAAACTTCTCTGAGACGCAAGTCTTGCCACACTTTCGAGCGGGAGGCCTCATCTTCGCCTGAAGGGAAGATTTGAGGAATGAAATGACAAGGCCAAGAGACAGCGATGTACCAATGATCAGGGTTTCCATAGAGGGCTAAGAAACTAGATTGCTTCAGTTTCTTCTCAATTGATGCCACTGAGTATGGTGGGAAAAAAAAATTATGTAAGACATAAGTAGATCCATGCACGCCTCCATGATGCCTCTCAAGAACAGATCATTATCTGCTCACATCACCAATTTCATTAAATTTGATGTTGCTGTCAAAAAACAGACAATTTCTGCAAGCATGCCCTTAAGTAACATTATGTAATTGTCACACAACTTTGGGAAGACATGAGGGAGAGTGAAAAGTAACCCTACCCAGAATTGCAAGGAGCTGAAGCCAATGCCTTGGACAAAGTGCAGGGGTGCGAAGTTGGATGACAAGAGGCAGAGTTGCACACACCTCCACCAGCCGCCCTTGGAGTTCTTGCCCAACTGGATGCTCCCGTGCAGATTGGGGTAAGTTGTCCATTTCCTTCAGTAGTCCTTCCACAGGTAACAGAATGGAGGACAAATCAAACTCATTCCATAGGAATTCACTCCATGTCTGGAGTGCTTCCTGAAACAAGAAACATTTCCATTGCAGCTGCAGAGCATTCAAGTGCCTTCTTCTGCCTCCAAAATAAATTGATGGAACTGACTCTGTGGTGAATGTAGAGGGCATAAATTTGACACAGGTCCTTTAGTTCCCAACCAATCTCATTAATCTCTGGATACTCAGTGACAGGAAGATCAAACAGTCTCTGTGCACTCGATAGCCTTGCTCTTTCAGCTTCAAACTTCTGGAGGTTTTCTTGAAACGGCTGGGGAAAAAAAGAAAAACATATATCAAATCATATGTGCAAACTTTTTTATGCTAACAACCATTCAGAATTAGGTTAACCTGAAGCAGAATTATTCCTTGATCCAGATCCTGAGGATATGCACTGGGTCCCCGAGTACGAAATTGAGCTTGAAACTCCCTGCATTTGAGAATGAATGCAGCAACTTCCTCCTCAGTGCTTCGTTGAAATCGAGCTTTAATGCGAGCAAGACGAATTTCTGTTGCTCGAGAATCTTCAAACAGCTGCTTCCACTCTTCCCCCACCTCTTCACTCTCCTGGTACTCCTCTTCTGGGATGTCCTGTATCAAAATCATCTTTGGCTTGAAATGAAATATCAAAGCTAATAATCATAATTCTCATGAGACTCTCCCTAACATGAGAGTATTAAGTAAAAAAAACAGCAGGGTCAGCTCCTCCACCATATTGTGCATCAGATTTGTCACATTTTCCTGCAGCACCCATTGTTTCACTCTCTCAAATTAGGTGTTCATTGACAAGTGTGCCTCTTACAATTCACATAATCATCTAGAGAGTCCAGTTGTAGCTAGTCATCACCATGACGTTTCAATAAATGGAAAGACCTGCAATGAAGTAGAGATACCCAGGCTGAAAGATTCAGGAGATAAAATGAAATGATGGAGAGTTCATGGGAGGGGGATATTGATTATGAATGTGGTGCACAGCACAGCTGAGGACCCAATCCTGCCACCTTTTTGCTTGGTTATTTCCATGTTTGGGAGAACTTCCTAAAAAAGTGACTTTCATCTCTTCACAGAAGAATAGCTGGTGAGTATCAAGATATCAAACACAGACATGTAACTAAAAAAAGGAAACTGTGACAATGGTAAAAGTACAGTAATTTTTTATAGCAAGTTTTGTAAGGCTGCCTAGAAAGTTTATTGCAAGATCATGAAAGGAAGGAAGGAAGGAATAAGGAAGTCAAGGCACTAACAAGGACATGGAAGCTGCGCAGAGTGTAATACATTTCATCAACATCTCGCAAGTTCCGCTCAACATTGCAGTTGAGCTCTCGGATCTGAGTAATGGTGCTCAAGACGACCTTCAGGTCTTCAAAGCTACGAGAAGCTCGTCCTTGGAGCTGAGAATTTAGCACCTGGAGTTGAGAGAATCATCATGTGTAAAAATTGTCTGCTTTGTGAAAATATAAATATGAAATGCAAAATGAACCCACTAAGGTTCAGATAATTAAAAAAGAGAAATGAATTGGAATAAACCTCAATATCTTTGTGGATGGCATGAATACGAGAAGATGCACTCTCCCTTAGGTGAATGGCAAAGCTTTGCATCCATCCCATAGTATACATGTCAATAGCATCTATTATGGGCCCCACATCCACACTAGAAGCAAACATGAACAGTAATAACGCACCATCAGGGCAATGTGGCAGTAACAAGACCAATCTTCACCTGATGGCAGCAAGAGATGAAATGCGAGGCTGCCGCTGTGCTTCCTCCCTCAAGGTAGCATAGAGGAGCAGACGGGAATCATAGTCCATCACAGTTGGGATCTTCCTCAGAAACTGAGAGATGACTTTATGCTTATCTGCCTTCCACAAAGTCTCATAGGTTCTCCACCTGAACAAGGGGATGATCCCATCAAAATACTGACCAGAGATATATAGGCACTCAAGATGTGGTAGTAAAAAATTTCTCACTTGTCACAGAGAACTTGCAGTTGTTGCAGGACCCTGACCACATCATTTTTCACATCATTTACAGAAGAAACAATATCTGGATGAAGAACAATATCATCATAGAAACTCCTGAATGGCTGTCCTGGGATGTTCCTGCACTCCAAACATGTCCCTTTCTTCCAGCGAGGCACTTTCTGCATGCTGAAACCAAAAGAATAAAACTTGCATCAACAGCCATTTAGAATTAAAGATATTGAGAATGATATGTTGGCTAACCCTTGAATGGCTGTCCGAATTACAGACGCACAATAAGAAAACACTTGGGCCTGTGATGGTCGTAAGAGGATCTCTGTGCCAGACAGGACAAGGGCAACTTGGAAACATGGCAAAGAGGTCAGTAGGGATTCACGGAAGCACTCAAGAGATCTTGTCAGGGATGTCAGAAAGGCCCGAAAGATCTGGTCCTCCCAGTACTCATAGAAGTGCATCATTCGCTTTGCTCTTCCTGAGCTTAGTCCAGTTAGAAGTCCTTCAATCTTGTTTAGTAAGGGACTGATGGTGGAAAAGTGGCCAAGTGCACACTGTACAGCCACCACTTGCCGTTTCTGTATATCATCAAAGAAATCCTGTAAAAAATAAATAAATGAGAATATTTGCCATTACTCCTCTCTCCACAAGATTTCTCACTTGTTGCCACAGACTTACTTTACACAAAGGGACCTTCCCTGAGAGATTGGGTTCAGGTAGGCCAAGGAAGTCAATATTGGAAAGTGCATGGACACGATTTTCCATCTCTTTTGTCAGATATCCTAATTGAGCATGAAGGAACTTAGCCCCACTCAAAAGTGATTCATTGTGATTGAGAAATTCCCCAATCACAAGGGAGAGCCAATTGTACTTTGGCAGGGTCCCCACTGATATGCAAGTGCCAATCTCCTCGAGTTCTGAATGCAGTAGATCCTTCTGAAAGAGGAGAATGGGGTTTTAAGAACACTGAAAACAATGTTGACTATATTGCATGTATGTCATTGAAGCTTTTGCAAAGGACCTCAGCCTCAGTTAAACAGGACAGAAATGTCCTGTGCTTCAAAAGAAGTTGGTGGAGCTGGTGACAGATGTCCTGGTACTTCCGCTCTTGCAGCGCTATATGAAAGCATGAGGGAGGAATCTGAACTCCCAGCCTTTTCAGGTGCCTCGACTCCCCCATCAAAGTACGGAGCTCTAGGGGGAATGCCACTTCCATGCTGCCATCTGCATCAATCCCAGAATGAAAACATGGTATAACTGGGTCAAGATTAAACAAACGCTTTAGAATGCCATTATACCTCTTTCTAACAGAATTGGGACTCTGAGAAAATCCATGAGTTGATTTTGAGCCTTAGTCTTCCATTGATCAACGAGATGTTCCTCATATTCCACCATTTCTCCAACTACTGCATTGTACAGCTCCTTTGTCTGCAGGAAAATTCATAACTGCCAGCTGAAATTACATGATGATAAAAGTCAGTCCTCTTGTGAAACAGATTTACACCAATAATAAATTAGTAGCCCATACCAGTAGCCCAAAAATAAATTCCCATCTTTTTCATTTTTGCAGATGAAACACAATTAGAGGTATTGGGAATCAGCAAGGTATTTGAAGAGAATCATATGTAACATGTGTAAGTGTTTTCAGGAAATTTTCAATGGAATGTAAAGAACAGACAGGTGGAAAATTTTCTCCTTCTGGGGGATTTTTTCAGCCATGAAATGAGAAGGGAAAATTTATTGCCTTCATAGTTCTCTCTCTCTTTAAAATCAAAATAAAAAACAAACAGCTCCTAAAATGTATCAAAATAAACCATACCAATTTCCCACTGTCAGTCTGCATGAGGTCGGGAATAGCAGCAAAGCGCTGCATAGGACTCCTGATGGAGTTAAGAAGGTGTCGCACCCAGACAACAGCTCCTGCAACTGGTGGCAAGTTTCTCTGAACTGGAGGCCTTTCCTGCAGGTCCCTGAATATCCCCTGAATCACAGTGACTTCACGTTTGTATTGTGTGAGGATGTCAGCATACTTCTCATTCAGCACTGATCGTAGCATGGGATTCATTGGACATATTGAGAACTTCAAAAGGATGCCAAAGGCTGCTTCAGATGACCTGAAGTCAGAGTGGATAAATCAATGCATGCTAGTGATTACAAGATGTTCCTCATATGATTATATGTTTGCAAATTTCAAACCTCATATCCCTGAATGTGTAGTTGATGAAACTCTTAGCCTGAGACAGAAGGACGCGCCTCTCACGTTCAAACGAGGCCATTGTGCTTTTCCAGAAGTGGGCTCTTTCATGATCAAAGGGATCAAAATTCACTTGGGCAACATCTGCCCCTAGCTTTCCAATTCTTTGTTCCAGTTCATCCATTCTCTCTTGATTCTTGATCACAGACCTCAAGCTCCGGCCGAAAACATTGTAAAATTCTTCTTGAACCTAACAACAAGAACTAAGTAGCACTCATGGCATGGAACTCTTCCAACTTCATAGAATAAGAATGAATGCATGAATCACACCTGAGAAATGTGGTGAAGATCTACACACACAGAAGCAATGTGATCTGTGGCAGTAAAGAGCTTTGACCGGTCAAATTCCCAGCGATTTAGGCTCCCACGTAGCTCAATAGTTTCCCTGATTTCATAGTAAGAAGTCTTCCATATTCCCATGACAGCCTTGACTTTCAGTGCTGTAGTCTTCCTTTCTGAAGGAGGGCATCTGAAATAAAGGGCCATTAGCAAGGCCAGGTTATATAATGCTGAATCACAATAAAAAAATTTGCCTACTGAAAAAAGGCAGTCAGTTCCAAGTAGCTGGAAGCTCTCTTGACCAGGACATTGATTATTCGCATGAGCAGAGCAAGCATGGCATCATCTCTGCTGTATACTCTTGAAATGTTCCAAGCTGTGTTAAGTGCAATGAACAGGGAAATGACACTCTGACCAAGGGCTTCCATTGTCTCTGACTCCCACAGATTCTGAGAACAACATTAATATCATTGTCATATTCTTGGAAAGGGCTTTCTCACACCTACAGTCAAGAGATCAGAACCAGCACCTTGAAGTGTCCTTCAAGAGTTGATAGAACTTTCACAGTGTCAATAGCTTCACTTAGGTGGGACTCCAAATGAAAGTAGGCAGAACGGAATCCCTCAAGAGCATCAGACTCTTTGTCTAATTCTTCCAGGAGACCAACCATTTCCTGAACACTTCCAGAGTTCAAGAGTCGTTTCATATGACTCAGAAGACCTGCTCTCTTACACCAAAATTGGATGTCTGCTGAAGGATCATCACCATTTGGAATCTAGCATAAAAGAAGATTTTTTGCAGACAAGTTCTTTCTCAAAAGATGAATGGTACTTTTCTTTACACTTGGGAATCATGCAAGGAATCTACAAAACAGATCATTCTTTTCACTCTGACATTGACTTCCCATGTGCAATATTACATCAGTACAATGATGATTCTGGATAGACTAGTAAAATTTAAATAAAACAGAACAAATGAGAAAATAGCTGATGATTTCATAAACTCACAGCTTCAAGGATGGCATCCAATTCAGAGCGGAATTCACGGAGCCAGGACTGGAATTTTTCCTCCACATTATCTAAACTGGCATCTTCTGGGCAGCCCGGAGGTGGGCTCACACTCACCTCACATTTCATATGCTCTACAGATCTGCAATAAAGAGTTCAAACATCAACTCTTTTTCACAGATTGAGTCCTAATGGGACTCAATCTTTCTTTCTTTCTTCTCATCTTTACTTTCATTCCACAAATAAATGCAGCACAGTTCCTGCTCATTATTTATAGATCTACATCAATGTATGAGGATGTGCTAAGTCTGGAGCTATGTATTGTATATGTATGCCACTATCTATTTCTCATTTTCATCCATCAGTCAGATGATAACCTACAGGCAAATGTATTTCACCATCATTTACTTACTTCTCGGGTCCTTGGTTGACATGAAATGACTCAATTTTGCCTATTTTTACATTCAGTCATCAGCATCATGTGGTCATGGTTGAAATCATAGATATCCCTCATATTTATTGAATCCAGAAGACTAATCTAACCTCAAAAGTCCAAAAGTAACTTTTTACTCAGCTCAAGGCCTGCACAGTACTTTTGTTGCATATTCTGCATGAAATTCTACACCAGTACTGGTACTTCATTTTTCAGAATCATAATGGTGCCAGATATGGCCTCTATTCTCAATAGCAACCTATCCATTGTACCATACAGAATAATGCACCCAATAAATCATGAGCTCTTAAAAACAGAACCTGAATGCATCTCACAACAGCAAGGTCACAATCTTACCTGTGAACAGCAGTAACATATTTCCCCATGATTGAAGCCAGTTCCACATCTTTCTGGAGGACAGGAAGCCTTGGTACATACAGTTTCCCCAAAATCCCCTCATACATCCCCAGAAAATCAGGATGAACAGAAAAGATGGAGAAGATTCTGCCCACATTCATGTCCTCAGAAATTGGGGCACTCTCATGGCGTAAAAAGCCAATTGTCCCAAGACATTCTCTGTTTTCACTTTCCACAAGTGCTTCATCAGGGAGAACTCCTTTTTGGAACACCAATGTCTTGACCACACGATGCTCAATCTCCTTCCTCTACATTCAGGATGATAAACTTGGAAAGTAACATATCATTAAGGCCAACTAGTTTCAAATTAAAATCTGATTGTCTGGACTCACAGTCAAGACTTTGGCAGGTACTTCTGGAGATTCTTCAAATGTATCCAAAGATGAGACAGACTTTTCCTCTGGCATTGATTGGCCTCCTCCTCCTGCTCCTCCCACCTCCATAGAAGAAGCTTGCAAACACAGCACAACTGATCTCAAACTGTGCTCCAGATCTTAGTGCAACCAATGGGTTTCGAGTGTTCTTACGAGGGGGAGGAGATACTATGATTTTTTCAGATGAGCTGACAGCACTTGATGGCTTAGATCTCAGTGGACTCCCACTTCCAGACCTCCTGCAAGTCATAAAACTCCTCGCTAGTTTTCAATACATTATTTCAAGCAGTTTTCAATATGTTCAGATACCATACAGACTTACTTGTGCTTTCCCTTCAACTTTTGCCTGCGTCTCCTCCTATGTGGAGATCCCCTTGGGCTTAATTCGCTTTCTGAGGATGATATGGATGGTTTCCTCTCCTTTGCTTTGACTGATTCTTCTACTTTTGGTTTGTCTTCCTCTATAGGTTCTGCAAAAACATCCTCTCAGTTATGAGGGAAAAGTCCACACACATCTTCATTGAACAGTGAAAACAGATCCCTACCAATTGGGACCTCCTTCTCCTCCAACATGACAAGTGATACATAGGAACAAAAGAGTACATGGTCCCGCTGAGATTTGACATGCTGGTCCAGATATAGGGAGATGGCTTCCAAGTCCCCATCTGACATGCTCATGGCAGGATGAAGGCATTGCTGAATTACACCACGAAACCATTGCAATCGAGGATCAGACTTTTCAATTAAAGTAATGGCTGGAGAGTATCCAGAACGTCTCCAAAGAAATCCAGAAACATCTATCTGCTCTTCCACATCTGAAAATAAAAAATATGAAAATTTACCATGATCAATGATATTCTACATCTATCAATGATAGATGTAGAACTTTTACAATGTGCTTCATAATAAGTGTAAATAAATTATTTACATCTAACTTTATGGGCAAAATAAGAAAAGGTAGAACCTTGATTTTGATGTATAAAATTCATTCAACCTGAGAATGTAATGTGTTCAAAATGTCAGCTGTTGATATTTTTTCCACTTGCCTGTATCATGGCCAAAATGGACAGATACACACAAAGTCACCTTCCTTCACCACAAGGTGTTCTGCTTGGGAGCACTTGCAAATTTAGAGCTATTTCAGGGCAATAGGATTAGCTTTATTTGAAACAAGGAGTGACAGGGCATCACCCCAGACAAAATTAATGCAGCTGAACAAAGCAATACATTTTCATGCCTGTTATGGAAGGTCACCCTTACCATGTAGGAAAATGGCACAGGGATTTTTGTAAACTCTCCTGAAATGTTACCCAACCTGCATCCAAGCTGTTGAATGGACAGGGGATAAACATGCCAAATACTGACATTTTGATCATTTTAAATTGAGTAAATAATAGAAAACAAAATCTAGGCTTTAATCAATTTATTTTTCTTACAATTGAGGCATCCAATTACTATTACACCCTGTAATGAACTAACCACTCCTTCCAAAAGTATAAAAGTTATTGAATTGAAATTATTCTAATAAAAAAAAACTATATTTGCAAAGACACCATACCCAGGTTAATTGAGCCTTCTAGGCTCATTTTTACCATTGGGGTTGAAACCACTAAGCTGAATTCATTCCACAATTATAATAAAAAAACTAGGAATTTCAATTTTATTAGATTAATCAACTCAAGTAATTGAATAAAGTTTTCATTGCAATTTTTAAAATTAGTCTAAATTCACCTCATTTTAATCAACCTCCCAATTTCCCCTTGAATGCCTCTTTCTACTCTTAAAATTTGACACCATAACCAAAAACAAATGCTTTGCCAAGAGAATGAAATGAAATGATGGCTTGTAGAAGTTAGTTGCTTTTGCACAGCTCACTCATCAGCAAAAATAAACTACTATTTTTGGAAATGGAAACACAGAGACAAAGCCATCACTTTCAGAATATTCCAAAAGGAAGCTTCATAAGAAAATAGAAAAGAAAGTAGTAATGAAGAAACTGCAAGGGAATCACATGGAAGGAAAGGGGATTTGGGCTAGGCACTATGATCTACATGCTAAAGACACATTTTCGGCATTCTATGATCTAAGGAATTTACTAATGCATTAAAGCATCTGTTTCTGATGCTCACATCACACACCTACCAAAGCAGTCAGACTATTTTGACTAAATTGGTCGTTGGTCAATGGTATTTTACATTGTGGCTTAAGTTATAGTTGGTTGTGTGAGGTCATTGACAGTCAAATGTTAGTAAAATAAAGCAAGTGGAAATTCCCTCTCCAATTCCCATTGGAATTTTTCTTACATACAGCAATTTATAGCACAACTTCATAAAATCTTTTTTCTTGAGAAAACTTGAACAAAAATTTTTAAATTTCCCAAGCCCCAAAAAGAGCCTTGAGGGTGGCAGGACCACAGTCTTTTTTTTATTTAATTGCAATGAATTTCTCAAAAATGCTAAGGATATTGAAAGTTATTACTTTTACCCATTTTATTGAGACAAATAAACATTTGGTTAACCCATTTTAAAAATAGAGTAGAGAACCTCCACAGTTGAGAACAAGAACTACCTCGCAATTGCCAAAGCAATCCCACTTCAGGCTCTCAATTCCTCCCCAAAACCCTCTAATTTCCTATCATTTTCCTTGCTTATTACAAAAGAAACTGCTAATTAATTTTAAAAAATCCTACTTGGAGGGTGTGTAGTATATTAAAAAAAACCCTGATAGTCAAGGTGTCAAGGCAAATGACTTTCAGATACATCATGCTTTACGTGTGTCCCTACTTTGACACTGAAAATCTCAATGTGTGAGACATAGGCCTGAGCCAAGGGAGTAAATATTAGACGATACACAAACCAATTTGTGTGCCATGTGCAGGAGATATGGGTGCCAAACACTTAAAAAATCACTTGTAGTAGTGATAGACTCAAGCAACCTGTGAAATACCCCTCCTACAGGACCATAAAGGGATGCCCCTGTCTAAGGGACTACAATACTTAGTGTGGTACCTGCTTCATCCCCCTCTTCCTCTGTGTCTTTTAATAAATAAATCCATTGTCATGTCTGCCATGCACCTATTTTGAAGTAATTAATTAATAAGTAACATGACATCAACTGAAACATTGCAAGGATACTTGTGTGCTGCAAGGGTAATACCATCAAGCCTTTATTGGATAAATTATGAATATTTCAATATTCAATATTTCACAATTTAATTTTCATAAATAAGTACATTGAAGGCTGCTGGAGGAAAATCAGGATTGGGAGAGGAAATGCTAGATAAGCTTTTCCCAAGGTTGAAGGCTGCTTGGTTGTGAATGGCTTTGCAGCTCAAATGGTGACAGTTGTCTCCTTGGGGAGGCAAGATTGTTCATTTTGATAGACTCAATACTGATTCAAGGTTGGTCCATAAGTTGCAGCCGTCATCTGAGCTTATCTTGACTGAATTTTGGCTACAAGAGTTATTTTATCTGTTGTCAAGTCTTGTTGGCGATGACCGTGGCTAGGCACAAGCCCAGTAGACTCTAACATTACAGTGTTTCCACAGGCAATAGTCCGATCATAAGTCTGACATGACGGCACTCACCTTCATCTGACATGATGTGAGACGATTAAAGCGTTAGGCCGGTTACCAGCCAAAACCATTACTTATGTTGATTCCAACAAATGAAGCGACCAAGCTCATGAGTGTTTGGTCAATAAACCAAGCCCGTCATCCTAATCATAGCCGAGCATCTTACTATAGGTTAGATCCCATTGTTGGCAAGCAGAGCCTTTCAAGATGTCATTTACATGGAAACTCCAGGGCTTCCACGGTCAAAACAGATGGAAATTTACGTTGTCAGATGAGAATCCTACCATGCCATCGGATTTCGCTTACACGTGACTCGCACGCTCTCCATTCATTTTGTTTCAGTGCAGTATTATTCCTCAAAGAAATATAGAAAGTTCGAGGTATATATCAGAATTATTATTAGTTCTTTCTTAGTTCATCCCAAATTCCTCCAAATTGGACCGTCAAAACTTGCAGTAAGTCGTTTTTAACGCGGCGACCTGAAGTCTTATATTGTTGCATGGACCCAACATCTTGGCAGCACTGCTTGGGACATGGCGGAATCCATGGAATGCATGTTCTTGTGATCGTCATCGGGGGGGAGGGGGGAAAGAGCTCCAGAGTGTGGGTTAATTAGTCATGGCAGGTTTGGTTGCCGACTACGGATCATCTGGTTCAGAATCAGATGCTGAAGAAAATCCGTCTGAAGATGGTGGCTTGTCTCACGACTCAAATGCCGAGGCAGCTCGAATTGATGGAATGCCGGTCAAAACACAGTAAGTTTTGTCAAAGGACACGCTCAAAGCCAGTGATGAAACTTTATTGAGCTGTTCATATTACAGTTTGCACGATGTTAGGATAAGATAAATTTTGTTCATGCACCCAGGCCGAGTCTATGTGGTGATATTACTTTGATTCGTGCATATTCTTCGGCCTAACTGTTAGTTACACAAGTTAAGAGGGCTGCTCTGTATTAGGACTTCATTTAAATGCGATTTTAACGCTCTCTCCGTGCCCTGTGATCGCTAAATATTCACAGATGGACGATGACTTTCTTTTTCCCCAATGTGTTCGATATGATACATTGAAGCACTCTTCTAAAAATGTTTTTCTATGTTCAACATGTTGCCAACTTGTGTTAGAAATAAAATCACGATGATTGACATGACTTTGATGGGAAGCTAAGTAATAATAAAGCATTTATTATTTATCAAGATGTTTGGGATTCCTCATTTATCTCATGATGTTCGGAAACAAAAACAAACCAGTTTAACACAATTTAGAAGTACCATGAATTTTAAGGCAGGCCTAAGCCTTTGGGGGACAGCATTAATAGGGAAGCATCATCATAGAAATATCTGTCATAATTAGTTCAATTTTAAAAAGTGAAAGTTGAAGGAGTGAGTAATGGCACAAGTGGCCACAGCAATGGATCTAGGAAAGGGGTCTGGACATAAAGTTAAACTATGCTAAATTATTGGCAATCAGCTCTTCTCATGATGTGAATGTGTTTAGTAAACATGCTTTTGCAGTGTCATTTGGACGTTTTTTAGCAACCATGTGAAAAATACTTTTGATACATCCACACTGCTGAATTTGCATTTAAATATTCTGTCCTGGACTTATTCTGTATCTTCTCAACATCCTTTTACCAAATCTGGCATTGATTTTGCAGGTCAGGAAATGGACTGGATGCCTTCTTTGGCTCTGAGGCTCGGGATGAGGATGAAGGCACCCCTGATGATTCTGGACAAGTGAAACAAGAAGAACCTGGAGTTGGAAGAGGTTCATTGAGGAATCCCTTCCTGGATGCTGCTCAAGGGAAGAAGCAGGAACAATCTGTGTTCACTAACCCATTTCGTGAAGCAGAAGAGGCGAAACTAGCCATGCTTGAGAAACATGTGAAAATGGCACCTGACAGAGCCAATCAGCTCTTTATCAATGGGAAAAAAGTGTGCATAAACTATCGTAAAGGTCGGTGTCGCTTTGGACATAATTGCAAATTTGCACATGATTCAGACATTGAACATGGGCTTGGACCATCAAAAACCATGGCTCCTGGGGTTTCAACTGTGGAGCGGTCTCCATCAATAATGCCAGATCTACTTGGATGGGATCCTTCTGTTGTGAACCGTAAAAATGCTGAAGAGGAGGAAACTGAAGAAACTAAGAAGAGAAAAATGAGAACTGGGCTTGGTGACCAGCTGAATCCCAGCAAGAAAGTTATGAAATTTTACACACAGCAGAAGACCAAGGAATGTCCATGGGTTATTACCTCTGACAAACCTAAGAGATGAGGTATTTGTCACTCATCTTGTTATTTCTCATATCAGATGTGATTCCTTTGATTCAATAGATTTTGATTTTAATGTCTATAAACATGCTGCTCTTGTAGTTTTCATGTCATATTACTTCACTTCATCTGGATGAACTGGATGAAGTGAATTGATGAAATGGAAGATTCTCTCACTCAAAGTGAAGCCAGACATTAGAGCTAATGCCCCCTCAAATTGGGTCTGCCTTTTACATAGAGGGCAAACGACAATGCCAGCTTCAAGCATCAGTCCTACTTCCACTCATGAAGAACAATAAGCTCCTAAAAGGTCTTGCTCTGTTTTGAGTGTGATTGTTATCCATCTCACTAAAAGAATCACATTGGCATCTTCATGTGGACTCAGAAAAACTCCAAGACATGGGAATCCCTTCATTTAAATGTGTCACTCATGCCAGTGTAAACAAAAAAAAAACAAGGTCGACAGTGTACTTACAAGATTTTGAACAAAAGAACCAGTTGTAATGCAACAGTGGGTATTGTCACCAAAATGTTGCTCATGACAAAATCAAAGGCCATAGAGTTTGAGGGTTCGATCCATGCTCACAGATGCAATGAAGTGAGCATGTTTCCCAAACCGAACTCCAGTTGCAAGAGCAGTGTGGTCGGCGAATACCTTCAGCTCCTGCCACTGCTTGCAAAGATACACCCTGAAGACAAAAAATGATGAAATAATGAGATGCACTAAAACCATGCTTGCATGAGGTAACAGAGGGCAAATCCTCTTGAAACTTTACCTGACATCTGTGCCAGCAACAGCTAGATAAGTCCCACTCTGATCAAAGCAGAGATCTCGAACTTCATAATTGTCTTCCAGCTGAATAGTTTTGAAGTTCTTGAGTTTTCTCAAATCCCACAGTTTCACAGTAGAATCTTCAGCAGCTGTTGCCAGATAGTAGCCATTCTCTGAGAAGGAAATTGCTGTGACCTGCCCAGAATGACCTGAATAAAATACAATCACTCAGTGATAGGTAAAGCATATCAAAAGTTGTTACTCATCTTCTTAATGCTGATCCTAATCATAAATCTTTGCCAGATGATAAATCAAATCTAAGAAACCACAAACCATATACAAAATGCAAATACCATGTGTACATGCTGTCCCGTCCCCCCCCCCCCAAAAAAAAGGGGGACCCCATCATCCTCATCCCACCCCATCATCATTGAATGAATATTTGAAAGGCATGCCAAATAAAAACTCATACCATCAAAATCATGGACGTTTGTCCTCTCCTTGAGATCCCAGATCTTGATCAGGGCATCTGAAGTTCCAGTGCCAAAGATAAGTCCATCAGGATGAAACTGAGCTGATGTTAAAGCATTTCCAGAACTGCTATCTGAAACCTGCAAGAAGATGAAGATCACCTTGTTTCCAATTTTGGCTCAGAATGACATCAGCATGGAACTTGGCCAACATTCACATGATACTGATAGGTAATGAACAAGAATTTCAGGAATAATGACAGACAAGTTAGCAAAGATGGTAGAAGTCCTTCTCTCACAAATTTGGTTTAACTAGTTTAAGTATTAAAAAAAAAACCTCAAACTATTTAAAATAGTTTAGGAGTTTTTTAAACCCTGAGGACTTTGAAATCTTCCACTTTGTCCTCATCCGTCACAATGCATATACTTTTTTTAAAATATGCAATTGGGATTTTGAATCTATGATTTTGGGAGCATCAATACAATGAAATGAGAAAAGAAAGACAAAGACCTGTGAATGGAATGAAAAATGAAGGATAGGAGAGGCCTAGCTTCTGTAATGCATCTTTAACTTTCACATCTTTAACATTTAACTTAACACTTTGAGGGCTGGGTACCTAACAGTATTTACGTGCTGCACATCAAGTATGGCGTGCAGCAAGGGAGAATCAGATCGGACCGGCCGATCCACTGCATTTTGGCCGATACCAATACTTTGGATCGGTATCAGTGCATCCCTACTTACGACTGTACTAACATACATATTTCAAACACCAAAATGTTTGGATATGTTCACAGAATCCATTTAGATTTACTGGACCAGGAATACATGAAAGTTCTCCCACAATGTAAATCTATGTTGGCAGTCCTCAATGTGTTAAGAAAAGTGGGGGGGGGAAAAGTTGCAATCAGAAATAGGAAATTACAATACCTATTACAGTCATAGTGACCATATCATAACCTCACATTTGACTCATTCCTATTCCTCTCCAGGAATTAAAAAATGTTTCTTTCCATGTGTTACCATTGATGGTGTTTGGAAAGGTGCTTGAACTCCTAACTGAATGCTGTCAGTATTGTCTTCAAAGCAAAATTCTCAATTTATTCCGAAATAAATTTAAAAGTAACCCATTTTTTGGGTCTTGAATAAATTACTACTACAGAAATATAATTTTTTCCTTCAACTAGCACCAGCAAAGACCTTGGCAGCGATAAGAATACTTCAGTTTAAATTGAAAGTTTAGGGCTTTCTTTTATCAAGATCAAGCTTAACACCACACCTAGTTGCATGTTCTCATTCTTTTCATGCATTAGTTCACTTTTCAGTCAATACTTTTTCATGTCAGTCTTGTTCTGAGTCATATTGCACATTTATCCCATTCCCAATTGATGCCAATTCAGCATTGACTACATTCCACATCAATGCTGTATGTTTTCATCATTTATATATACAGTTGAACTCTGTTATAACGATGAAAAGCACCAGGTCCTGGGTTATATTTTACCACGGTTATAGTGAGAACCTGTAATAATGTTCATTCGAGGTCCCACTGAAGAAATTGACAATGTTGATGCCCCTAATCCATCATTCTTAACTGGAACATCATCGGAAAAGTGAGCATTGGCAAATCATAACTTTATCTTTCCTGGAATTGGCATTCCTTGAGAGTCATGTCAGTGTGGCTGGAGGAGGATGAGGGAGGAATAATCTGCAGTAACTAAAAAGATAATCTTATATTCAGTCACCATTTGCATTTCTCGTTGACAACATGGCCAGTGGAAAGCGAAAGAGGCAACCTTTCATGACAGAAGGAATGTGTGCATGATTAGTTTAACAGAAAGTGGTCGAAGCAAAGCAAACATTGCTCACAAACATGGAAATCTGCTCATCTGTTTCCACAATTTGGGAGAATCATGACAGTTTCATCCGTGCTTACGAGAACATGTCACAAAGCAAGAAACTTAATAGATCTGTCGAGATGACGACAATGCTTTGCTAGAATATAAAGTAGCTCAAAGTCTAAAGAAGTGCAAACATCATGATTAGTGGGTCAATCCTGAAACTGAAGCTAGTGCAGTATGACCAATATACACTGGGGTTGTAATGTTATATAGCATCCATTTTGAAAACAGGAAAATGGAATGTCAAAAATGGCAACCTTGGTTATAATGAAGATTTTTCCCTGGTCCCTTTGATGACATTATAACCGAGTTTGACTGTATTTTAAAGATGTCTTAATGATCCTCAAATCCCTTTACATCATACTTTGGAGATATTAGCCAATGGATCTTACTCACTTAAGCCTTGTATGGAACTTACATGGGTGAGGACACGTCCAGTACGAATATCAGAGAATGCCCATTGACCATCTGTAGAGGTGGAGAGAACATAATCTCCAGTTGCATGAAGAGAAAGTCCAGTTACGGGGCCATTGTGAGTCCGGATCAAATGCACAGTCTGACTGCTTGGAACATTCCAGATACGAATACATGCATCAGGAGACGATGTCAGCACAGTGTCCTGCAAGATATGCCAAAGCAAAGAACATGTGGTTCATTCAGACAATATAATTCTGGCAAAATTTAATTCAGGAAAGGGATATTGGTACCTCATTTGGATGGTAGATGGTGTTGGTGATTTTCTTGGTATGCCCCTTCAAGATAGCCACAACCTGTTCTGTATCCTTGTTGAAGACAATTGCATTGCGATCATTTCCACCAGTCAAAATCTTGCTTGAGTCTGATGCTGAGATGTCCAAGCACAAAATTCCAGGGATGCTAGCACTGTGTAGGCCCTGTAGGAGAAAAAAGACAGTTTTTTATGTCAATGTTTCTGAATAATTTCCACCCTTTAGTTCATGACAACCCATCTAGCTGACACTTATGAACTCACTGGATGAGATGCAAGGGTCTGATAGGCTCGAATGTTATCCTGAGAGGAGAGATCCTCTGGTACACTCTTGCCACGTCGCTTCCTCTCTTGAGTAAGAACAGCAGCTTTGTCGCTCAACTTTTGAATTACTTCACTTGTCAACCCTGCTGCTTCTGCAGGCTGATTGGCCAAGCCTCCCACTTCTGCAACTGCAGCCTGCAAAAAAAGAGATATCATAAAATCTGATCATAAAAAAATGCACCATGAAGATGGAGACTCAATGAAAGGAGACTTGCCACTTGTGGCATGACACCAGCGCCTGGGACAGCAGCAGTAATTCCAGCTTGTGGTTTCAGTGTAGCCAAGGCTTCACGAGCCGCAGTCACTTCCTTGTTCAAACGTGCAATCACTCGACAGGCAGCATCATGCTGATACAGAGCATGGCTACATAATGAAAAACAAATACTCAACTTAAAAAATGAAGCACTGGACACCACCTAATCTCAAGAACAAGAGATCATTTCACTCACCTAAGTTCCTGTCTGGCTGTTTGTAATTGTTGACGAAGAGTGAAGGAATGGAGCATAACTGCATCCCATTCATCTTGGAGTGATTTTAAGATAGCAGGAATACTGGTAGCTGAAGGAGGCTTTGGCTTCACCAACTGAGGAACTGAAAAAAATTACAAAATTGCTATTGTGCAATTTATGTGGCATTTATAAATATTGAAAAAATCCACAAAACAATGATTGACATGCTTTCATGGTTTTGGTATTGGAATGAACATTCTAGGCTAGAGTGACTTTCAGGTTAGTCAATAGATATTCATCATACCTTTAACATCAATAAGCATGTCTGCAGTGAGTTCCTTGCCCGAAACAGGATCAATTCCATTGTCCAAAATGTATTTCTCAATGAGTCTTCTCTCAAAAATTGCTCCTGAGACAGGAGATACCACGGGATGTTCTGGAACTTCATTGGAGACTGAAAGAGAGACATGAGAGTCACTTGAGCAACCTGGTAGGCTTTGGCCTGTCTGTAGGATAGAAAAAGGTGACCTAGGCATCGGCAATGCCTGCAATGGGTTTTTCTGGAAAATTAAACCATGACAACCCTTATGTTACTAGCTCTTTACAAGATTTTCTGAAAACTGCAGAGGATAAGCAACAGGCATGCTGCTATCAATCAGGATTTTGAATTAAGCATTCTGCAGCAGCACTGAATATAGATGGCATGCAGTTTCAGTGAAGATACTGATTTATGATACCTCTTATCTTCTGTAACCACAGTTGCTCTGTGCTTGTTATATTTAAAAAAAATTCATTTTTAGGTTTGAAGCTCAAGTTTTCAAATGTTTTATGCTGGTTATATTAGTCATCAGTTATCTAAGGTGTCGTGTGCAAAATGACGAAGTTCACACAATGTTAGTTTAAACCTTTTTCTTCACAAATAACCTGGCACCCATTGCTACAGAAAACGTAAAGCAACTGTTATTGCAAAAAAAGATAAGAATAACTAATAAAAAACTTGAATTTTCATGATTGAAACCACCTGATATCTCTACTCAGCCATGTTAGAGCCCTTAAATGAAGTACTTGGTGGGAAGCAGCTTGAAAATCACTTTTTCACAGCAACTTGAAGTACTTCAACTTAGAAAAGTTGAAGTATTTCAATATGAAGCACAAAGTACTTTTTCAATCTTTGTTAAAACCTCCATTTATCTAAGATGTCATGCACAGAAAATCAAGAGGCTCTCATTCAAATTAAATGTAAAAAAAAAATATATATATATATATATTGATACGAGGTCTGACAATAAAGTTCCTGGAATTATTTTTTTGAGACTGCCAATATCACAAAAATTATTTTCATTCCATGGGTTGATAGATTAGACTTTAGGCGAGTTTGCGTCATTCCTCCTCTGACTAGCATCTTGAATGAGAGTTTGGCTGGCTATGTAGCAACTATCCATCAAATCCATCAAATGTTGCAGAAGTGTCTTGAAAAGTTTATTGTTATGCTCTAATTATTTTGAATGACCTTCAAGGCCTCTAGCAAGTAGTGAAGACACGCAGAACCACCTCAACCCCAACCATCACCAACCATTCACCCAAGGGATGGCTGAACCAATCATTATTTTCAATGTAATTTCTACTTGCTGAAAGCCTTGCAAACTATTCAAGATTCTTAGAGTATGACAAGACAACTTGTCAAGACACTTCTTTTAACATTTGATGGATCGCTGCAGCTGTATTCCCCAGATAGAGACAAAATATGAAGCATTGCTTCACTCTGGGAATATGACAGACAACTTACACACTGAGTTGCTGCATTGCCAGCCAAACTCTCATTCAAGATGCTAGTCAGATGAGGGCTGAAACAACATTGCTCAACAGTTGAATCTCTCAGCCCATGGAATGAAAATAATTTTCATGATATTGACAGACTCAAAAAAAAAAAATCATTCTGGGGACTTTATTGTCAGACCTCATATATGGTATATATTTTAAAATAAACAAGAACCTTCTTTTTTGTCATAGTGTAGATCTGTGGCAAAATCATATATAGATATCATATGCATATCAGACTTTGACCACAGACAAAAAGAGTAGAAATCAGTTTGTAACTCAATGACAGCACAAGGAAACCAGTAGTCTTATGCAAGACAGAAAATGTTATATGGGAAACAAATCCATTGTAAACAAAAATGTATTATTCATATTCATCCATCCATATGTCTGTCTGTATGTTTGATCACATTGCATCAGTACTTGCCCTTTGTGCTTCCATCAGAGAATTCATCATTCTGAAATTTACAGGTCTAAGATTTCCCAAACAGGGAACTGATCAGTTGGGGAGTAGACTGTCAGGGAAATAACGATTTGGAAATTGACCAGATCTATACAGATCATTCCATAATGCAAACAGGATCATATGGTTATAAAAGAAAGATCTGGTGGAGAGGGGATGGAATTCCATAAGCAGTGTACAGCACCCAGCATGCAAGGTTGGATTGCACGGCAACCTACATAATCTACTCAACATACTTCATTGCTGGAGAGCAGCAAAAGATTCAAGGGAATGGGATTAGACAGAATATATTTATAGAGGGATTCACTGGAATGTGATGGGTATGGGATAAAAAAAAAAAGAAAAAAAAAGTGACTAAATGCAAAATCAAGAGATATGGGGCTGAGTGTATGCCTACAAATCTGACAGGTGATCATGAGACTAAATCCAGCTGTGACAAGCATGCCATAAAAAAAAGGTGAGCAAATACCCCATCAATCCACGACCCCATCGTGCAAAAAAACCCACTCCAAATATGTGAAATTGGCATGTACCAAAAAGAGAAAGGCACAAGTTGTTGAATGAACATGCATTTCATCGAGCCTTGCATTCCTTTTAGGGTCTGAAGTTAGTAGGCAAAGGACGTCGTGTGGCTGAGACGTGACAGATATACAAGGCGCTAATTTCCCAACACAACGAAAAAGGTCAGACAACTTACTGGAACACGTCAGCGACATTCTCCAGCTTTAGAATAAAATCCGATCGAAAAATGCGAAGATAGCCGGTGAACAGCGAATGGACAACCGGTAGGAAGACTCGGCGCGCGTTGTCGTGAAAGATCACTGAGACGCCATGACAGTGGGAACCAACATGGTCGCGTCCACGCTCAATGTCCTGTAGAAGTGTGTCTTCTGGGCAGAGGAAGTTTTGTTCCAGATTTTCCGAGCGTAGAGCTCATCATGAGTCAGGAGTCCGAGGACGATGCGATCCTCGACCCAACTGCAATACCTTTATCCAGTCAAAGCTATGATTCCGCGTTTGAAAGCGACGCAGAAATTCAGAGAAAAAAGCGCAAATCTCATGACTTGATATCCAAGGCAGAGAGAAGCGATGCAGTAAGCCAGGTACAAACTTTAAGAGGACATGATTTATATGCATTAGTTATCATGAATAGGCCTAGGCTTTAGGCCCATATAATTTACATTCTTTTGTTTTCTCAAGAGCTTCAAGAAAGCAAAGCAGTCCCTATGGGATGAATCAGATCGAGAAGAGCAAAGAAGAAGACGACAGCATCTTCTTTCCCTGTCTGCCTACGACAGGCACAAGCTGTTTGTCAACGCCTATTTGCTGTCCTGTCCTGGTTCAACAAGTCTCCTCAAAAGAGACACCACTAAGGACAAGAATGACTATAGCATCCTCTATGAGAATCATCGTTTCCTGTGGAACTCACAGGATTCCTCAGATTCCTGGGAGGCCTGCTTGGCCAAGAAGTACTATGACAAGCTCTACAAGGAATATGCCATCTGTGATCTTCAGTTTTATGAAGCAGGTGAGAAGTGAGCACTATCTTGAGGAGTTTATTATATATGTATGGTCCCATCTGTATGCCATATTTTAATTGCATTAATTTTAGTGTAGTTCATATAGGGGAATGGAGAATGAACTGTATATTTCATTTGACCAAATGAGACTAATATCATGATCCTTATATGGTGCCTTGTCAACACGACAGAATGTGGGAGGAAGGAATAGGAGACACCCTATTTAATGTATTCCACCCTTGAGAAGGTCATAAATATGGGCCTCTATCTATCAGGATGCAATGGAGCATTCAAGCAAGTACCCTGATGGCTTGAAATGAGTACTTTCAATACTTTTTTCTGCCTTTCTTGGTCTTGTTTCCCTTCATGCTATTTAAGTTTTTCTTGCATGACTGGGTGGTTCAGCATAACTCATATGTTATGCTGAATGATGTTATCACACCATAATTCCTTCCACAAGATATCTGAACACAAGAGAGATAATTTTATTTCAACGGTGTGTGGTTTTTCTCTTGAAATAGGAAAAGTAGCCATGCGGTGGCGGACAGAGAAGGAAGTGAAAGAGGGTCGTGGCCAGTTCTCATGTGCTGAAAAGAATTGCACTGCTGAAGAAAGCCTCAGAACTTGGGAAGTGAATTTTGGGTATTTTGAACAAGGAGAGAAGCGAAATGCCCTCGTGAAGTTGCGGCTTTGTCCCCAGTGTTCCTGGAAGCTCAACTACAGACACAGGAAGAAAGAGGTGTCCAAGAAGCAAAAGTCAGACGAGCTGCAAGAGACGAAGAAGAAGAAGAGGAGAAGCAAAGAAGAAAGTGGGAAAGAAGGAATGAATAAGAACAGGGCAGTGAATGAAGAGCCAGAGACAGTTCAGGAAAATGAGAAGCGCGAGGAGCCTGAAGATGCCGAATCCAAAATCTGGAGAGAACCTATGGCAGAGACTATAGAGAAATCAAGAGAAGAAGAATTTGAGGCTTATTTGGAAGATTTATTCATGTGATTGCCATGTGAAGATGTCTCTGTGATAACTTATTGTGGATTTGTTTCATATTTTTTTCCCTTCATTAATTTTTGGCCTGTTACTCACCTTTATGGTTGTTCTCAACCCTGTTGTTCCATTAAATCTTGAAAGTGTGAGAGAATCATGTTCAATAGACCTATTAACTGCTCAATACTTTTGTATGAACTTGGAATATATGTATGTATAAACCTAGACTAATTTTTTCACATCCTGAGTATCTATGGATTTCAGCATATTTAAGCAGAGTCAACCCTTGTCTCCACATAAATGCTGGATTTTTGAGACAGAAAAGAATGCCTAGCAAGTATATGTAGATGGACAATTATGGTCTCCCATCTTCATGACTCGTTGCAGCATTCCTGCTTTGCATTAGAATGCATTGCAGGTACTAGGACTGAAAGATAATTCGTTTTTTTTAATCCCTTTATGTACATGACATGGCAATCCCATTTGCGGGAACAGGGACTCAGACACAATACATGGAAGCTGTCAATCGTCTCCTCGGGAGTGTCCTCCACAAGGGGGGCCCAAGCGTCCTAATGCTTCATGAGTTAGACTGGGAGCTACACGATCGTTAAAGTCTCTATAGCGTTTTAAACCATCACCTCGTAACGATCCGGTTTTGTAGTCCATCCAGCCCCCCCCCCCCCAATGGTTACCAGTGTTTTCGCCGCGGACAAAACATCGCATGTACTGTGGTCCTTGCACTATTTCGTCGCAGGCAAAGGTAGTCGCACGGGTGAAAGGAGTGAAAACAAGGTGAACAAAAATGGTAGAAAGGAAACTGACCCCTTTGTTCATGGAAATCAGCTGGGAGAGGAAATGAGAGGCAAAGGGTCGCAGTCATTCTTGGCATTATCGCGGGAGTTTTCGCGTTCATATCCGTGTTAATGGCACTGAAATACTTCAAGACCTCTTTTTTAGTAAATAAAAACTTCACTATGAAGAGTATCTTGATGGTAAACTACCATCCTAGGTTTAAACGCTTTTTTCAAGTTAAAATTTGGAGCACCGTCAAAAACTGCTTCCATGTCAGTGGAAAAATACCACCTTTTATTGTTAATAAAAAATTTTGCCTGATTGCAATTCAGTCCATGATTACCAAATTCAGTTTTGAATCTTTCACTCCCTGTTTTGCTATCCATTCGTCCGCAACGTTCTTCAATCAAACGTCTTCAAAAGACGGATTGAAGATGCAACAATTCTGAAAATCCGAAAGCAAATCGCAAAACGGCATGGGGAATTCCTAAGCGGTATCAGTTGGAAAGCATTCTGCCCCCTAAAAAATAATAAATAAATAATCCCAAACGTTTTATATGGAGAATCGATTAATAATAAACAAACAGCCGCAGAAAAAATTTTTTTCGGCTCGCGCTTACCTAGCTAGACTTTTTAATTTTAATCGTGAATCGCCGATAATACAAAGGAATTTGCATTTCGAATCCAAATATATCACCAACGAATTAAGTTTGGTTCGGGTGACCTTGCTTCAATGAGCACCATTGGGATTTTGGGAATCGGACTTGAGAATTTTACTGCTTCTCCAGAAACTGGTCTTCGCGGTCGTCGCGGATTTAATCGCCGCGACAACTTCAAGATTCCCGTGGAAATATAATAATATTAATTGTAATATAATGATATTATTATAATGATATTAAGGTTTCTGTGACGTTGGTAACCCGAAATTAAATTTTCCGATCAAAACCGATTTTGCCTCGAATCGGCAATTTTTTTTTTCGCGTCGAATTTGATCATTTGTCGAATGGACAAATGATTTTGTCAGGTTAAAAGTCAAATGGTTTCATTGCCTCGTCTCGAGATCGAATGAAATAAACAAATACGATTTGTTTCCTGATTGGGTTCATCTCCGACAAACAGCATCGGGACTCCCAAGTGGAGAATAGCTTTAAAATTGGACTTATTTATTTGAAAAAAAAAAATAATATTTTTATTTTTATTATTCTAAAATATTTTCACCTTTGGCCTTTTCTTTCTTAAATCGAATTGATATATTTTACATCGTGATTTATGCACAGTGTATGGTAATATAAATAAAATTAAGCTGTGGTTTACACGATTTAGACAACAAAAAAAGATTAAAACAAAATTTTAAAAAGCTTTAAAAAAAAATTCACTCTCTGTGCAATTTCGATTGCATGAAAGAAATTCTCCAAATGAAACATCCGTTGAACGTGTTTTCTTCTCCAGTGATCCTTGCTGTTTCGATTTAAAATCACCAAAAGAAAGGTTCCCATAATAATTATTATTATTAATTTAAAGGAAACAGGAAAAGTCCATAAATTTACCCCAGGAAGTTCCCAAAACAGGCTTTTGCTTCTTCATCGCCAAGCGATTGTTTTCCTGTTTGATTTTTTCGTGTTTTCGTCTGGGGTGGCAAAAAACAGCATGTTTTCGCGTAATTTTGTCCAACCGGCTGGACCCCCGAAGAACTCGGGATAGAGCGCGTAGCTTCGGAAACTTGGGATTCATAATGTTAAAAGCCTTTTTTTTTCCGTACGGTGAAGTTGCAGCCTGTCGCACCTGATATGCAGCCTTCAGGGCGCTGAAACCCGAGCCATGGAGATTCATACCGGGTTTCGCGGACTTCTCCCTTCCCGCGATAACGGCAAGGTCGTTTCCGTTCCACACGGGAATCCAGCAATAAGGACGAGAATACTCAACGTATTTTCGTCCTTATTGCCGGGTTCCCTGGGCTCCAGCGAGCCTCGCAGTCCCCCGTAAATGGACACCCCACGGCGAAGGAATGCCTCCGCACAAGTTCACTCCCAACAACGATTGAGGATGGAGGTCACGCCCTCCACCCCCCCCCCCCCCCCCCCCCGCCCCCCCCCCCCCCCCCCCCCCCCCCCCCNGGGGCCCCCCCCCCCCCCCCCCCCCCCCCCCCCCCCCCCCGGTCTCCCGACCATGAAAAACGAGACAGGACTCGCATTCCACGTGTCTCCATTCATTCATCCACTCATAGGAGGGAGCAGTCGCCGCTCGCGCCCCCTCCACACCCGACTACGAGGCTAACCCAGAGAGTACCCGCCAGGCGAGCTTTACTCGCATCGCATTCCCTCGTCCGCTTTCGTCTCGGCCGCTTCGTTCGCTCTCCGCTCTCTACGTCAACGTACACAGTGAGCTTTTTTCAATTGTTGCATCTGACTTTCATACCGCAGAGTCCGCAGAATCGGATCGCACCGTTACTGCTCTCTTCATGTAAGATTCCCAGTCGAACACATCGTCGGCCGATTTCGGCAGGTTTTCTTCGCCTCTTACCGCTGCTAATGGTACCACAGTGGGGAATTTCATACCTCTTGCTTCAGGGCATGTGCCCACTCCCAGTTCGCGACCGGAGAGAACATTTCCAAGTACTTTTTTCGTTCCATCTCTGCGAAACCCCCAATAGTTCCGCTTTGGATCCCAACAGTATTCGATCCGTCCATCTCGCACGAGTCGCCAGAGGCGACACCCTGTCGGCGTCGAGGCCGTCGTCGATCCCGCGAGACCGCAGCTTTTGCATATCGACCGATGAGGACCGGAAGAGAGGACCTGGATGGAATTTTCCCGATTTGGAAAAGAGAGCCCGGTGGGGCCCGCATAGCACTATTCCGCCCTAGGCGTGTTCAAGGACAAACGTCGCTTGAAACTAGGAGCCCGTATATACGCAGCAGCGTATCCAGGATTTCATTGGACGATTCCCGTGCCTGCATGTAAACGAACGGAGGAGGCTAGCTTGTAAGTAGGTTTACATCCCTCCCCACTTCTCCCCCTCTCCCCCCCAGTTCTCCCCTCATGACCATCCATGACCTTAATAGCAACCGGAAATTCTCCTTAGAACCCCTGGAAATATTAATTTCCTCTCTGTTCTACAATGAGTCGCGTTCCTGCTCAACCCTCTCAGGGCGATCCCGCAGACTTTCTGGACTCGACGAACTAAGAGCAGCGAAGAATTGCGACACCGACTTTTACTTTTTTTTTTTAAAGGACTATATGTTCTTTAAAAATGGCTGCGACGACTGAAGCCCCTGATAAAGTTCCTAGGAAATTAACTCGTTCTCGATATTTCTAACTGCCTTGCATTGGAGAGAGACGGTCTCAAAATCGTCACTTTATTAATCCTTTCCTGAAGATTTTGGCGTTGATTCAGAATTGCAAAGTTCATTGCAAAATGCAAAATTGCAAAATGGACTTCGCTGAAAATTAGTCGTGCCCTTGCGAATTTAATTTTGCGTTGGACTTTCCACTAGGTCTCTCCTGTCCGTCGAGTCTGAGGGGAAAATGGCACCGGTGATTGGTTATTGGAGACCGAGAGGGGTAAGTGGGGTAATTCGTGTAGGGTAAGTAGAAGAATTCGTCCGAGTGATTCTCGATTCGATGATCATCGCAGCTGCTTCATCCGATTCGCATGTTGCTGGTCCACACCGGAGTGGATTTCGAGGACAAGGTCTACCCGGAAACGAGCCGAGACGAATGGCTGAAAGACAAGGAATCCCTGGGACTCCCCATGCCGAATGTAAGCATTCCGAGGTCGTGGTTAACGGGTGACCCGCGGTTATTCGTAGTCGGTTATTTTGTAGTCTCTGCTCTGTAAGTCGGTCGATGAATTATTTGAGTCTGCATGCCGAAATTCCCTCCACAGCTCCCCTATTACATCGACGGAGACTGCAAGCTGACCCAATCCCTGGCCATCATTCGGTATCTGGCCCGAAAACACGGCCTCGCCGGGACGAACGAAGAGGAACTGATCCGGACCGATCTGGTGGAATGCCAAGTGCAGGACCTTCGATTGGCGCTGATCAAGCTGGGTTACCACGAATACGTGAGCGAATGCGTCAGATTTTGTCTGAAATTTTGCCTGAATTTTGTCGTCGTGATTTGAGATGTGGATGCTCTTCGATAGAGCGAGGAGGCGAGGGAGAAATATCTGAAGGAGACGCTTGCGAATCATCTCAAGCTGCTTTCGGGTTATCTGGGGGATCATCCGTGGGTTGCGGGGAATAAGGTGGGTTTGTCGTGGAGGATGGGTCTGGGGGTTTCAAACACGTTTTTATGGATTTTTATGGAATCGATAGATGACGTACGTGGACTTTCTCCTGCACGACACGTTGGATTGGCATCTGTTCTTGGACCCGACTTGCCTGGACGGCTACCAGAATCTCAAGGATTTCCTGGCCCGGTTCGAGTCACAGCCGAATATCAAGGCGTTCATGGAGTCGGAGAAATTCCTGAAGTGGCCCATTTTCGGCCCCATGAGCAAGTGGGGGTACGATGACGCCGGGTCGAAACTTCGATTCCCGGATTGAGTGGAAACATCCTGAAAAAAAAACTACACCGGAAGAGAATAAAAAAAAAAGCTGAGTATCGACCCAATGTTTCTTCCTGATTCCCTCGCAGTATGGTGTGAGACAACACCGAGAAAGTTTCGCTGCTCGAGAGTCTCACCTCGGGTGGAAGCACTGTCGAGTACCAACATTTTTTTATTATCCTTAAAGCATACCAATTGCGCATTTCCAGATCCTTCGAGACAGGACCACTGCCTTTGTTGCGTGAGCCTTTCCCGATTATCGTCCAATATACAATTCCAAAGAGAAACCCGAGCGGTGGGGTACCTCCGTCTGTCTGAGAGTAAATCGCCTTATATCCCAAGCCCCTAAGCCACACACGAGGCCCTCTGATTGAATTTGTCTTAGAAAGAAGGAGAATGAGACAGGGTCACAGGGAATGTGTGAGATGAGAGGAAACCGCCAGACAGCCTTGAGGCGAACGCCTTCTTTCCTTGCAAGGGTTTTTTTTTTTTTTTTGAAAGGTATATTTAGCGGATTCATTTAAGACTAACAGCGGCCATCTGTATAGAAGGGTTTCATGATTATCTCACGATTGCCCGACCGTACTCTCATTGGGTCAAGTTGTTTCTTTGAAGATTGAATGAGTTTGTTTCTATGGGGACCGTGCATCCATGGGATATCGATTGATTCAACATCGATCATTTGTCCTTTCTTCGACAGGTTCTGCGGGACTTATCTCGTCGCCATCACGTTAAGCATCTTTGTCCGTGTTGCTTTGTTTCTCCCCCCCCTTCTTAGAATTGCAGGAGATTGAACTTGCAAGAGTATTCTCTGAAGGCATGTGGACACGTGGGCCTCTTAGTCCCCATACTCGACACGTTCGGGCAGTACAGTTAATCGGATCATCAGAATATTGTGATTATTGGGGATTACATCACGAAGTCGCGCCAATGTGTCAACCCGTGCTGCAACAATCGAGATCTTGAAAACAAATTTGGCAAAGAAAGGATCAGATATATCAATAGATGCAACTGCATACAAAACCCAAATCGCCGACGCAATCTCTCCCCTCCAACCACGCAAAATTTTAAATGGACTGCGACAATTGGCACGGCTCAGCGCCTCGCAATCTCAACAATACAGTACTTGGGTTCGAAATTATCCAGTCGAGAATCGCGCGCGGATGCTTGCGCCATTTGCCAATTCCAATTATCTTCGTTCTGCTAAACATTCACTTCATCAGTATGATAGATTCGGAAGCTTTAACAGACGCATTCGTATTAAGTATGCAGGAGCGAACGATGCAAAGAAAGAGAACAAAATCGACTGTAGGACCCATCTCAACATTGGTTATCGGTTATCGGTTATCTGTTGGAATTTCCCGCCGGCCTGCCGCACTGCTTTCGTCCCCGGTCACGAAGATCGTGCGATTTTTTTTTTTTCGTTCAAAAAAAAAAATGGAAACGATCTTTGACAGATCGTATTGGGAACATGGGTAGATCAGAGCAGATCACGAGATACCAGTAATTTACATAATCCCTGTGAATAAATACCGAGTAAAACACTCAAACCCGATCTGGCGACTGTTTGAGACCGTCCCCGACGTTTTTCAACGAAACGTCATCATGATTCAAATTTCCAACTTTCGCATCTCTTATTTTTAGGGGGAAATTCCTCGGATTTGAAATGGGATTCAGGGATTCGGATCACGCCTTGGTCGAAAGGTTTCTGCAAATATGGAAAGTAGCTCGCATGAAACCCAACAAAACTAGTGATTAATAATAAATTAAGGCAGGAAATTTCGACTTTCAGTCCGGAATTAAAATTCTCTGAAAATCCCCTTTGCCTTTGCCCTTTGCCCTTTGCCCTTTCGAATTGAGCTTCGGCGCCCTGACGAAGGATTTCATCCACGTCGGGATCGATCGATTATTGATCAGACAATCCTTGGAACTGCCCCGTGCCAAATTTACCATTCGGTTATGATTTTATTTTAAATTGGTCCAGTGTTAGGCCAATGTTGCAAAATTGGTCCAGCTGCGCGAGGAAGGGCAATACGAAAGATATAAACAAAAACATTCTAACATGCGACAGATCGTGCAACCTCTCAGTTCAACTGTCAAGTTTCAAATGAACTTCTGGGAATGTCAGGAAATGTCTAGGAATGTCTCCATCGATCATAAATCCCTTGACTGCACTCGACGCCATAAGTACCATCTACGGAAGAACTTGATTTCTTCGTGAGTTTTTGCAAGTTGAATATTTGTATTTGAGTGCAACCCGGCTCGCAGCTGCCTAATGAAGGATGGGATGTCCTTGGCGCAATGTCCTTGGCAGAATGAGGAGGCAAGGGCGAAACATCTCAAGGAGACGAACTCATCTCGAGCTCATCTCCGATCATTTACGTGACCGTCCGTGGGCCGCAAGTCGAGTTTCGCCTCTCACCGAAACTTTTTTTTTTATGTCTTGGGATTGCTTAGCTAAGAATCGAACCGAAGACGCGGCTTCACGACACTCGGCACGTTCTCCTCGCCAGAGCCAGAAGGATTTCGTGGGCCGATCGGAGTCCGAGAAACCCCAGAAACCATTTTCGGCCCCACGAGCAAAGGAAGCCCATCGAACGCACAGGGCCCTAAAGGGGAAACCAACAGTGAGAAAATAAGACGTCCTTGTTTCTTGAGCGATGAATTTCGCCGGCCTGCGACACCCGACTGCTCTTGATGCTATCACGCCAGACCACCCCGGGACCACGCCACACCCCCTCACAGATAAAAGCAGCTAGTGCCCGGCAGCCAATGACAGCGCGGGAGCAATGCACGGATGCACAAGTCAAAACATTCTCCGTTCGTGTGACCTCCCTCATATCGTCATCTCCATTCCTTTCCTTCTATCCTTGAGTTGGGCATCGTGTGTCAATGCATACCGCAACAAGGAAATTATATATTTGCTGTTGAATTCCGCGGGGAAGAATGAAAATGCCTGCGATTGGCCTAACGTTACACGTCCTCAACGAGATGTCCTCGTGGACCGGAGATTCACTCTTATAGGAATAATTATGTGGCATGAGTCGAAAATTGAGTTTCTTTTGAAAGAAAAAAGGTAGCCCTTGGCGTGACCTGAAGGCAGTTATTTGGTTAGGCCTAAGCCTAACGTTAGTGAGTCCCGTAGAGAAGGGCGAGAGGGGGGGTGAAGTAAGAGGAAGCCACCCCTACCGACCGCCCCCCTATGCCCAGGTTACCATTCTTTTTTCCCCACTTTTTTACAAATAGCTTCAACATTAATTTTTATTGGGACCAGTGACAGATATTCATGTTTTTACCCCAAATGAGAAATGAAAAAGGCGATCGAGCAGGGAGTGATGGAAGACGGAGGAAGTAGAGAACCGCCCCCCTATGGAAATTTTCTGTATCCGCCTCTGTCACACGATCATAGCATGAATTGGTGTCTTAGCTAACGGTGGCTGTAGGTATTTTCAGCAGAGCCTCATATCCAAGCATGCTTCCATTATTTATCCATATTTCCATATACCCATATTTTGGGAAATTTAAAGGTGGTAACCCTACCCCCACCCCCCTCCAACGCCTTTTCCATCGAACCAGCTGGAATCGGAATGAGAGTCAGCTGCTCCCCTTCCATCACTAAGGAAAAAGGGGGTTGTGCGTGCTTGGAGGTCCTTCCCTCGCCGCGGCCGCAACAGGATTAATCATCCCCCTTCATTTTTTTTTGCATTCGCAGATGGCATCAGCGCTTTGTCGGTTTGGATTGCATGAGAACGAAGAGGAAAAGAGAGAGAAGTTATCTCGAAGCTGAGGAGATTCAAAGGAATGAATTCCAGCAGGGGATTCCATCGGGATCCCTCAGGAAGAGATTCCTCACAGAGGGATTCCTCACGAAGGGATTCCTCACAAAGGAAGAGGTTCCTCACGAAGGGATTCGTCTCGTAGTCCATTTTGGATTGCCCGAGTTTAGAATAAAGGCACGTTCAGAGGCCGGTGCCCGTTTCGTTCGTCACAAGACAAAACGGAGCACCTCCCCAGAGGAGGGAGGGAGCACCTCCTCAAAGCTGTTTTCATACAGCTCTGTAGTTGCATTGGGAGAAAGGGAAATTAGAGAATTGTTCGGATCCTTTTCGAATCTGAGATAATAGCAGTGTTCCTGATTTCCAGTATTTTCCTGAGACGATCATTTTCAGTATGTCACTTTCCACTTTAACTGAGATGTCTTTGTTTCATCTCCAGGGGAAAAGGAATACAGCTGAAGCCGAGAGTTCAACAAGCGGCAAAAACCGCTCGGCGCCAGTGCAAACGGGCGCATTGCAATCCAAGGCGAGCAGTTTCGTCGCGTCGCAACGCCGCGGCGCGCCGCGCTACGCACAAGTGAAAACAGCTGTAAGTGTCCTAGGACAAGTGCAGTTTTCGGGAAGAAAAAGGGAAAGATCACGGCACACCAAGTACCTCGCGGCACACCGAGAGAGAACACTGGATTAGAGTGCAATTACAATTGAATTACAGCCTATTCCACAACAGATAAGTCTATCCTATAATGATAAGTCTATTACAGTGTTTCCAGAATGACTTTAACCCCCATTAACATGGGCTCCATACTTTTCAATGGACCCTGTTGGCGCCTCAGCAAAGTAGTACTTCCAACATTTCCAATAGATGTCGCTTCAAGCAATAGAGGCGTCTTCGAGTCGTCAAACTCACCGTAAGACGGTGGTCAGCGAGTCAGTGACTAGTGTCGAAGTCTAAAAAGTATTCTGTATAAAATTTATTGCAAATTTATATATTTCAGCGCAATATGAAGTAACTAGTTACATTTTAATAGGTTTGATTGAACAAAGTAGTTACTTTCAAAATCTTAGCACTCATTATGGAAATGCTTCCCGTCGAATATGCTCGGTGTCTCTTCCGTTCTCTGCATTAGTTTCAACTGATCTTGCGCTTCCGTTTCCTCCAACACCATGAACCCCCTAAAAAGAATGAAATCGTCCCTGACAGCTTGAGGGAAAGAATCATTCAAAAGCGTTTTCAGGAGACATGGTGAAATTGCGAGAATTCTCTCAGTCGAGAGAATTTCTGTGAA